AGGAAGATAGAAAATATGGAAAAAAGCAAAAACCAAAAAAAGAAAAGAAAAATAAAAGAAAAGAAGAGAGAAAAAAGAAAGAGAGACCAGGCCTATCAGACTCGCTACTATCCCAAACCACCGATTTCTCCTCCATATTTTCTGAGCGAACGTCTTCTGTTCTGTGTAGATTCTCCTCGGTTGACCCGGGTTGACGGGTTTAGAAAAGGGAAATAAAATTGAAAAAATAAGTAAAATCAAAAAGCACCAAAAAAAAAAGAAATAAAAGGAAAAAAGAAAAACGAACTAAAGAAGCGACAAGTCCATGTGGGCTGGGCTGGGTTTGTTTATACATACAGGTACGGAGCCCGTATTAGTCGTATGGTGGACGTGGACTAACCAGAAGCCGTTTAGCGCCGGACGGGCGTTAGTCAGAATGGCGGAGACAGCGTATCATTGGCCGCGCGGGGGTCGCTGGAGACGCGGGAGTGGCATTAGAGGCTCCAGTGCGTGGGCCGTGGGCGACGCGGGTGCGCTGGTCAGGTCGTCTGGTTTCCCCTCCGCGAGTCCCGCCTCGACAGCCCCTCTTTCTTTCACCACAACTTCCCTGCTGCTGCGCTTCTCGCCGCCCAAATCGCCAACACCGACACTGGACACGACCGCCTCACTGTCGCGATCCAGCGATCGCCCGAATCTGCCATCGCCTTCTGCCCACGACCTGCCGCGTTTCCTCCCTCGCACTCGCCGCTCTTCCCCCCCCTCGCTCCCCTTCTCCCCCTTCGACCGCTTCCTCTTCTTTCGCGACTTTCTTTTTCTCCTCATCCATTCAACATCCCCCTCTTCTTTTCTTCTCTTTCTCCCCCCCCCCTCCTCCTCCCTCTCTCCCTCTCTTTCCTTATCATTCAACATCATAACCACCCGCTCCTGTCTTATTTCTTCTTGTTTGGGTGCTGTCTCTTAATTCTTTATTATTATCAGTGGTTTATCAGCCACTTCGCTTCTCGTTTTCTCCCCTCTTGGTCCGCCTGTGGCTGGATCACCCCTCCCTTGGAACCATCCTTTTCCACCAGTACTCCCCCGCGCAAGGAATGACCAGACATCAAACCGAATTTCTGTCGTCGACCCGTCTCCAGAACCGGTGTGAACTTACAAAAGGGACGATACCGCAATTTTCGCCGTTGTTTTGCTGAGAAGGAATCGGTCGTTTTGTGTTTTCGCTATCCCGTTCCCTAAGATATGGCTCCAAGTGCACCGAACACGGCCAGCAACTCGCCGGCAAAGAAGACATCAGTACCAGAGAAGAAGTACAAGTGCCAATTTTGCAACCGCGCCTTTAGCAGAAGTGAACATCGAAGCCGACATGAACGTTCGCGTAAGTGCCCGAATGTCCCCTCTTCTTCCCCTCGCCGCTATGTTATCTCCCCTCTTTTCATTCTGAACACATTTCCCTCGCGATTTATTTTATTTCTTTCTTCCACCATTTTCAGAATTCTTTCTGGGTTTCAGTATATTTGCGCAGAGGGCCTTGCTGACTCGAATTCCGTCACAGATACGAAGGAGAGACCATTCAAGTGCTTGAAATGCCGGAGTACCTTTGTTCGTCGAGATCTTCTTCTTCGCCATGACCGTACTGTTCATGCGAAAGATGGTGGGATACCGCTTGTTTCTGAAGGACGTCGACGTGGCGGTGGTGTTCAGAAGTCCTCCCCTGCACCTGCCCCGTCGAAACCCTCGGTCACAATCGATCCTGCCACGTTAGAGCAGATTGAAGCAAGCAGTGATGGTATGGTTGATCTTGAAACTGCAGCCATGTTGATGACAGATTTCCAACATAAGGCCGCAGCCGCTGCTACCGGTCAAACCAATGATCGAGCTGAATCCGATCGCTCGTTCTCTCCCGGACGCGGTTCCCTGCTAGAACCTTCCGTGTCGTACCTTTCAGGCAACGCAACTCTTCCCCAAATGCCGTGGGACACTTTGGTCTCCCCTGCTGACACGAAGCATTTCGCGTCCCAAGAAAATGGCCCAGACTCGCATCACGTCTCGTCGGTCATGGAACGACACGGCCCCGTGGGTGAAGCGCTTGCCCCTTCACTGAACTCTCTTGTCAACTCGCTGCCGGTGTCCGGAAACTCGACGCCGAATGCGCTGTCCCCGTACCCCTCTATGACTGGCCCCGTCAGCCCCGTGAACTACAGAAAGTCCCCCGGTCCTAGCCAGGCCCTCACTCTTCCCAAGTCTCCCCAGGTCGCAAACGAGGTTGAGCGCAATATGATCTTGGAACGGATCCGCAATGCGGATGCCCTCGGCTCGCTTCCCGATCACTTCCAACTTCCGTCGACGGCGGCCTTGAACAAGTACCTGTCGACGTACTTCAACCTTTACCACCATCACCTGCCCTTCCTGCACCAAGAGTCCTTCAAGCCCACCGCGACATCGCCCCCGCTGCTGCTCGCTGTTCTCTCTATCGGTGCCCTGTACACCTTTGAGCGACAGCACGCATTCATGCTTCACGTTGGATCGAAGGTTCTCGTCACTCAATTCCTCCAGCACAAGGACAACTTCGATTCGAGAAAATGCCCATTGTGGGCGATGCAGAGTTCGCTCCTGAACATGATTTTCGAAAGCTGGAGTGGTGATCCCAAGGGTCTTGAATGGACTTGCTCGATCAAGAGCTTGCTCGCCAACATGGTTGCTGGAAACCGCTATCAGCTGAAGCTCCGCACCGAAGCTCGCGAGGGAACCCAGCCTACCAGAGAAGAGTGGATTGAGGACGAGTCATGCCGCCGCACTTATTACGCCGTCTACATCTTCTTCGGCATGCTCACGCTGACCTTCAACCACACCCCCGCCATGAGCTTCGATGAATTTGACAACCTCGAACTTCCATCCTCTGAGTCGCTGTGGAATCTCGATGTCACCGATGACGAGGGCTGGCGCCGCAGCTTGGCTTCGTCCACCTCGTTGACTGTTCGTGAAGCCCACGATTGCCTCTTCCAAGGCGAGCAGACCCGCTACAGTGCCTTTGCGACCCGTGTCTTGATCAACGCCCTGTTCTTGCAGGTCTGGAACCACAAGAGAAGTTTTGAGGCCCTCCAGGATGTGGTTACCGAATATAAGCTTCGACTGGCGTTGGAGACGTGGGAAAGCTCGCTTGAGGTGTGCGAGCCCGAAACCATTGTTGTGCCCCTCAGCACTCCTCAGAACGGCCATCCCTTGATTTTCAACTCGATGGCTGTCTATCGCAACACCCGGGCTCGCTTGGAGGTTGATCTGAAGTCGATACAAGAGGCTCTGCGCTACCACTCGCCCTACGAGGTCGCGGCTGCCATGACTGTCGCTCGCGAAAAAGTCAAGCGGTCCCAAGAAATGAACAAGGTCATTCAATCCTGCTTTGAATGCATCGAAATTGCCGCTATTCAGGGAATCAACTGGGTTGCCAAGACATCCGCCACCAATTGGAGTGTTGAACATCCGCTCTGCGGCCTTGACCTGATGGTTATTCTCAGCCTCTGGCTCTATCGCCTGGAACATGACGAAGAGCCTGCGACTGAGGCGGAGGTGGCCATCTACAACAAGGTCCGGAATCTGTTTGATGACGACGCCGTTGATGCTTTTGGTAAACTCAGCTCCACCGTGGCCCGTGTATGGGGTAACATCCTAGACGGCGTGGTAGTATGGGGGTAAGTTTCTCTCTCTTCTCGTCCGACTTGAGACCAGCATGATCATATAACTAACTGGTGTTCACAGAATCACTAAGCTGATGGGCGAGTCGTTCAAACTCCACTCCCAAGCGCTTGTTGGCTACGAAGATTCTCTGCGCGTTGCCAAGGATCAACCTATCCACCCAATGCCAACCAAGACACTTGCCAGTGTAGGAACAGCTTACTAGGCTTTGTCAGCTGTTTCGAAACAATTACCGTTCGTTTGGTCTCTTTGAGCCACTTTTTTGATTCTCACTCTCGCTATCCGAGCTTATAGCTCGACTCCTGGGACATTCGTGATTTTTCGGGGTTGTGGTTGGGGGCAAAGGAGCGAGCATGGGCGGCAAAGTGTTTTTCTTTTTCCCACCCGGGAAAGCTTATGATCTGAACCGCTGCATAATGCCTCGTGCCGGTGTTGCCTGACTGCCTTTTTCAACTTTTTTTTGCGACGTTTCCTTTTTCGTTTTCATTGCGTTCTCTTGATTCTTCTCGTCTTTCATCTTGCAAGAGCTCACGGGAGTCCGGTGTGGTCACTTTTCTTGTTTTTATGGGTTGTTCCCCCTTCAAGGTAACATCTCGACACCCGGCTGGTCCTGTGTGTTCTTCACTTTAGCACTCGGTGGAGTTGTTGCTTTCTTTTTATATCCATTTCTACACTATTAATCCTTAGTGCTCCTACTTTTCTCTACGCATCCAGCGTGTTTGGTCAATTTGCCTGTCGATTTTGTCCCCGGACCATTTTGATACCTCGCCGTTTATATACTTATCTTTTTTCCCTTCTCCAAACTTCTTTTCAAGTCTCTCGTTTCTACTCCACTTTTTGATTATCATTTTTGAACTTCTGCTTTTAATGTATGTGATTTAGAACCGTTCTGAGTTTATGTGTTTATGCCGTCCCCGCTGTGTTTATCGTTTTTTATGTTTGCGATCGTTTTTGGTTTGTGTTGTTTTGACTCCTCTCCAATGTTTTCTGATCTTGGTTTTACTCTTGCCTGCATATTTCGATGTTTTTGCTTTGGTATCTTGTCCATCTTCTACCTTATTCTTGAAAATCTTCGCGTTGGTAATGTTTATCTGCTCTTCGTTTTTTTAACTTTTTTTCCTGATTGCACATGCTTTGCGTTGTAGTACCCTGTACTATAAGTAATTCTAGCACAAAATATAAGTTGGTTTGGCGGGGATAATACATGGTCTTCCAAGTACACCGTAGGTTTGTAGGCCCTGGTAAAGTCTAATCCAGCTAAATCGGTAGTTTACACATTATACATTATCTTGCTCTATATGGTGATTGGTTCCTATGAAAAAAGACCGACTTGCTCATGATGTACAAACAGGCTCTACGAAGCCTAGTGCCCATCTCAGAGACCCTACGATGATGACGAAGAATCCAAGCGCGACGCCAATGCTAAGGACGCCGTAGGTATAGGCGTGGCGACGACGGCCCAGTCCATTCAGTTCCGCGACCCAGGTACTGATTGTGGTGGCGGAGCCACAGAACCCGTCCATGACGCCCTCCAGCACCTGACAGCTCGTGAGGATGGACGAGGACGCTGCGCTGGAGGAGAGCGCAGTGCCTAGGCCGTCGACGCGCTGCAAGTCAAAGCACATGGCCAGGATGACGGTGCCGCCGATGTTGACGGCGAATGTACCGAGGGGAAAGGCGGGGATACGAGTGTTCAACATCAAGGAAACGTAATAGCGTACCAGACAGCCCAAGGGCGCAAAGACGACGGCGAAAATAGCCTGTCCGCGCCAGGTTTCTGGCGAGGCATCGTGGCGGTCGGGTGGCCAGATCGCCATGAAGACGGCGCCCAACCAACATCCCCAGCCGAGACAGACGAACAGGGGATCCAACAGTCGGCGGGTGAAGCGGAAGGGGAACGCAGGGACTAGGGGATCCAGGGCCAGGGCGAGATGCGCGCCGCATATGAGAGCGCCTAGACTGAGGGCGACGGTGACCAGGATGACGGCGACGAGGGCCATGAAGCTGTACCCGCCATTGCGCGAGGAGATGGTGGGCGCGGAAGGGTCGGCGAGGTCGTTGGAGAGCGCGAGGAAGATGTCGCGAATGAACGAGGAGAAGGAGGTGAAGCTCCCGCAGAATCCGGTGGTGAGGCCGATATACAGAGGGATAGTCTTTTTGACGGATTTGTGCCGTTTGGCCTGCTCGGTCGCGTCTCCAGGGTGGTTGGCGAAGGTGTCGTCGCTACCCCATTCTTCACGAAAGAGGTTCTTGTCTTCCAAAAAGAAGCCCATCAGTAAGGATCCACCCACATTGGCCCAGAGAACACCGGTTACGACGGGGGCGCCAGGATAGACGGTGAGGGCCTGCAGGCCAAGACGTGCCAAGGTGCCGAAGATAGCGAAGAAAACGAGGTAGGAGAGGGTGTAGAGTTGCGTGGCATGTTTGACGAGGGGCTGGGCGATGGAAGGCTTATCGTTGGTGGGAGGAAGAGAGTCGACGTGACGCTGCGTCGCATCTTGGGTAGTTGGAGGTGGTGCGCCAGTGTCAAGGATGGCGTTGGCATTGGACATGGCGGGTCAACATTTCTGGGAGCAAACGGAAGGCAAGGAAAGGCAAAAAAGAAAAAGAAAAAGAGGGTGTAATGACGGTGGTTTTGCACTTAGCAATTTCCAAGCACTTTAGCAGTCGGTGTTAGTGGGTAGCAAGTGGGTCGGGGTCGGGATTGGTGGAGATCGATCCATGGAGATTGGAGTGGGCTGAGACCCGGCGATGTATAGGCAGTAGTTGAATGTTGGATGGACGTGTTGACATGCAAACCAATTGACGGTGCAGAGACAAAAGAAAGGAAGAGAGAAAGACAAAAACGACAAGAATGTGAGCAGTCATCGGGAAGGAGGACTAAGCAGGCAGGTGACCTCCCCTCTTTCCCACTTTCTTTTCCCCTCATCTTCCTCTCTTCTTCCCCTCCTTCTTGTTCATTCCTCCTGTCTCTCTGCCACTTCAAATTAATCAATCCATCTCCAATCCATCCACCGAACAATGCCGCTGCCTCCCAACGTCCACGTCTCCTCTCACCCCTGTCTCCAGGCCAAGCTCTCGCAGTTGCGCTCCAAATTCACCTCCACCCGCGAGACCCGCGATCTCGTCAATGAGATTGCTACTATCTTAGGCGTCGAGGCCTTTGCAGCTGGTCTGAAAGCCACCCGTCGTGGAACGGTACCAAACCCCTCGGTTTGTCTCGGTCTAGCTTTAGCCAACTGATCCGTGTCTCTAGGATCAAACCCCGTTAGGCCTCGAATATGAAACCCAAGATATCGACCCCACCAACGTGGCACTGGTGCCCATTCTCCGGTCAGGTTTGGGCATGATCGAGGGTGTGTTTGTCTTTGCCTTTGTCTTTAATCAATCCTGCAGCTTCATTTTCTCATTCAATCATATCAACCCTGACTGACCGCTTCTCCGCTCCCCTCTTTCCCCCACATTAGCGATCAACAATCTCCTCCCTTCCCCTGTTCCAATTTATCATCTGGGTCTCTTCCGAGAAAGTTTCTCCCTGCAGCCCGTCGAGTACTACAACAACTTGCCCTTCCACCGTCAGACGTCAGACACCAACACGGCCGCCGCCGAGATCGCCGTGCTTCTGGACCCGGTCATCGCTACTGGAGCCACCGCTGAAGCGGCCATTCATCTTCTGCGCGAATGGGGCGTTAAGAAGGTGGTGATGTTGGGCGTTCTGGGCTCGGAACCTGGCGTGAATCGTGCCGTCCAGGCCTGGCCGGAAGGCGTGGAATTGTGGGTGGGCGCCGTGGACAAGCAGTGCAATGAGCGCGGCATGATCGTGCCTGGATTGGGAGATATCGGGGACCGACTATTTGTTGCGATGGGCAAATGAAGCGAATGAAATGCATGCAGAACACATATAGATGATTTATACCCGATAACTATAGGTATAGGTGTAGGTATAGAAATAACGATATCAGAAACGTTCATGCAGTCATTTCGCATTCATTCACATAGCAGATGTATGCTGCTCATAATCATAATCATATCATCAATGACTAAACTTCCAAATTCCATAAAGTAAACCAAACCTGAAAACCAAATACCAAACTCATCTCGACGCCATCCTCAAAATTTCCATCTCCATCTCCCTCTCCGACCTCCGCCCCAACTGACTCCCGCTCATACTACCATGAACCCGACTACTACTCCCTGCTACTGCTCCACTAGAACTACCAGCACGACCACCAAGAACCACCCCTGGCGCAGTGGCAATCCCACCAAAATAACCCGGTAACTCGGCCCTCTCGAACGGCGCGATACGGTCCCGATCCATCATCTTCTCGTGCACGCCGCCTCGGCCGTGATGGATCCCTTTGGCGGTTAGTTCCTCCCGGCGGACTTTTTCAAGGTGTTCTTCGCGGCGTTCGATTACTATTTGCATTGCGTTAGATGTAATGTTAGCATTTGTCTCTTGTGAAAATGAATTAAACCGATTCACGGCATGAAACAAACCGATTGATATCCATAGTCCATGGGGAGAGAGAGGCAGAGAGAAGAAGGATAAAAAGATGTAAACATACCCCTCCAAACAACAATATAAACAGCCATAACGACAAAGCAAGCGACCAGGAACCCGAACAGAATCCCCAGTTCATGTCCCAGAGAGGACATGGGGGTATAAGGAGGGATGTTGTCGGGGAGGTTGGTGGATGCGATGATTTCACGTTTGGACTTCATTTCCCCCCACTTTGAACTATTGCTGCCGACTCTTTTTGGTTCTGGGCTAAGGGGTTGTTTTGAACTTCTTCGGTGGCTTTGGTTGAGGGAGAGTGGCTGACAGGCTGGTCTTGAGTATCGGCGAGTATCGCTTGAGTGCTCGGAGGTTGTGGTGGTTGGTTCGGAGGCGAATGTTGATATTGAAAGGGGATGGATATCTACCTATTGGGCAAAGAGGTAGATTGGTAGGTGGGAAGGGAGAAGACGGCGCCTCGATGCGACGGGAGTGCGGTGGGATGAAAGAACAAGTAAAGGTAAAGAGAGGGGCAGATAAAGATGGAAGGCGACGAAGATAAAGAAAAGTCCCGGACCAAGAAGAGGCTGAACTCGTATTTCTTCAAATCCGGGGAATTTCCTGCAGACTAAGCCGCAAATGGAGCCGTCGGGGCACAAAGAACAGCCTCTGCACACGGTGATTGGCGGTACGTGTGAAGTAGTCGAAAGGTCAAAGAAGTCAGGAAGAAAGAATTCAGATCATCATGCATAAATCTCAGTATCTAGACAGTAGATACAGTAGTCAAGACAGTAGTCACAGTAATAGTAACAGTATAGAAATCCAAACCAGAGCTCGTGTTCTGGTAAGACAAAGAAAAGAAACAAATAAAGAGGTATCATGTACACGTACACCAAACGTCACCAACCCTGTCTATACATCAGTCGGGTTGGGTATGAGAACCAGGATGTGCCGATGCTCAAGAAGAAAGGAAAAGGTGAAAAGGGGGAAGAAGAAAAAGTGTATCAGAAGCAGAGAACGCCTGAGCATCCTCCAGATGACAGGGCCTCCGATCAAATGCTCGCAATGGATGCAAAATACGCTCGTAGCAGAGACCTAACAACCGAAAGTTTCGATGGCCAGGTCCGTCATGAAAGTGAAGAAAGGATGAAAGGTGAAAACTCCGAATGCAAATTCCACGTCAAACGAAATGGGCCAAACCGCAATATATAGACGTATGCGACGTGTGCAATGAGAAGTGTCTCGAACCGCGGACACCATGCTCGAATGTAATGCGAATGAAGAACGGTTCCAACGAGGTCAATCGTCCTCGCCGGTCGTGATCACCCCAGCATCACGGCAGCAAGTGCCGTGCAGGTCAACCCGATAGCCATTCCAATCCACGGCGTCTGACCTAGGGTTCCTTCACTCCGCGCCCGCAGCGACTTCGTCACGCCCGGCGATGCGACCAATGCTCTGAGCCCGATATTCCCCCGCGCAGGCTCCGGCCATTGATCGGGAACTGTCGTCGGGAGAGGGTCCTCTGCGGCAACGGTAACCGTCACGTCGGCGGGCTCGACCGCGGCGGGATGTAGCTGACGAGCTTCGAAGGGGATCGCGACTCCATGTTCTCGAGGCGAGGCGATTTGAACTTCTGGCAACGGGGCGGGCGGAGTGGTGTTTGGCACCGAGGGGCTCGGAGCGACGGCGGGAGATATTTGATTGTCGGCCTCGACGGCGAGGCCCAGCGTCGGGACGAGCGATAATAGTAGAAGCGAGGCTTTCATGTCGTTATGGAGTCGAATGAGAAACAAGTGGGAAGAGGGGGAAGACGGTCGCAGCGAATAGCTCCACCAACCACTTTCAGCGGAGAGATTCGTTTGGGGGCGACGGAGCGATCACCGGCGACTATCTATCTGATCGAGCTTGATTCAGAGACACGAGATCGCGAGTCGGGGGGGGAGAGATGTGGCCGTATTTCCACCGAAGGTATTTCCAAGTTCCAACCAAACGAGGGACTGTAAGGAAGTCGTGATCGAATTGCAATTGCAGTGGGGAAGAGGAGGGAGAAGAGAAGAGAGGAGAGACGAAAGAAGAGAGGAAATAAAGATAGAAAAAAGATAACGACAATAATATTCTATTAGGACAAGGCGACAGACACGAGGAAACAAAAAGGAAATGGAAGGGAAAAGGGAAAAATAAAAAAACAAGAAACGAAGCAAAAGGGAGGGAAAAAACGGCCAGACGCTGACAGGCCCCCGTTGGCCCTGGAATTGAAATTAGTGGAATTTTAATTGCGGTTAGTGTTTGGGACGGCCCACTGTGGGTCTGGGATAAGCGATATAATTGGTTTAATATCAGCCGTGTCAGCTTGGGCTGACACTAGCGCGAGACGATCCGTGTCTCGTGCCACCAGCAGAAGCTTGTCAGGGATTCAGGGCCAATCCCAGGCGGTGGAGCAGGGGTCCCCCCTGGAACAATCGGCCTGGGGGGTTTCCTAATCGAGGGCTTGGCTGGGACGAGAGCGGCCAGTCAGAGAAGGGAAGTGCATCCACGCGAGGGCCAGTCTTTAACCATTTTCCGGTTTGATTGCGCCGATGACGGAATCGCGAGGTGTGCCGCGACACTAAACTGCGCAGGTGTGATGGACAGCGTCATCTCTGTCCTCAGTGTACACTTGGTGTACTCTTCGCTGTGTACACAAGTAACTACTGAGTAGTGGAAGATTCTCTTATCTTGCAGGCTGGAACTCGGACAACGCCCGCATGGGTCCTTTCTCCGACGCAGGCAGCCTTATGATGTACTCGCAAGCCACGCTAATTATAGGAATCGTCTCGTCGAATGATCGAAGTCGATGCGATGCAGATCATCCCACATCCCAGCCTGTCATTATTCTCGCTACTTGATGCAGTACGGTGTAAGTATCGCCTCTATCTGTATTCTGTTGGTCGCACTTGTATCATTCACAACATCTTCGACCAGTCTGGCGTCACCGTGAACTTGCCGCTGAGTTGCCCCATCGCCCACACTCGCTTGTCGTCCTCGGCGTCAACCTCCTCGGCATTCGGCGGTGTGGATACGATCAGAGCCTCCTGCAGGAAGTCCACCGCCGTCGCGCGATCCAGTTCGAAGCTGATCCCTCCCCAATTCATCGAAACCCGTCCGGAGGCATGCACATTCAACTTCCCCACACGTCCCGCCGGCAGCTGCCAGTCCGTCGCCGTGACGACCTTGGAGGGCTCTCTCGCCGTCGTCTCGTCCGCTCCGTCTAGCACTTCCACTCCGTCTTCGTGCTTGACGGTCGGTTCTTGAAATCGAACCCCGCCGTTCGTAGTCGTACCGTCGTTGTCGGCCTGCTGGGCGTTATCTGCGCTGCCCTCGGCGTTTTCATCACTCTCGCTGGGGACAACTAGATTGGGGGTCATGGGTGGAAACTGCATCAGGAAGAGTTGGCCCGCCAGCTTGCCCTGGTCCGACTCATCTTCTTTGTCTTCGGCGTCCTTCTCCTTATCGTCAGCCGCGGTGTCGGATTCTCCTTCCGCCGGCTTCTCGGACTGTTCCGTGTCTGGTTCTTTCTCCCTCGCGGGTTCCTTTTCTTCTTTCTCCTCTCGCGACAGGAGATCCTTCATCATATCGAGATCGTGCGCGTGGCGATCGAACTCCTCGATATCCTCTTTGGTGCGTAGTAAACTCTTGGGATCCTTAGGTGGAGGCGTCTCGACGGCAGTGGAGGTTTCTCGGGAGCCTAGATTCCGGCGCACCTTCACCTTCTGTACCGGTAGCAGCCCGTCGTCCGTAATGATAGTATCGTCGTGCGCGGCAACATCTTCCATGGCTTGGTCATCATCCGTAGGCTCCTGTTTCACACGAGGCTCACCCTCTTTCGATTCTTGCGTAGTTTCCTGGTCATCATCTTGCACGAACAGAGCATCGTCCTGGGTGGCCTGCGCTTGCGCCTGCTGCCGCAGCTCGGCCGATTTGCTCGAGCTGGATTCCATATTCACGCTGACCACTCGCTCCTCGTGCTCGTGTCTTTCCACTCGAATAGGCCGCAAGCCCTTCTCGCCCCCATGCCGGTCGGCGTTCTTCACGGCCATTTTGCCCTTCTTCTTATCCTCCGTCTGCGCGGGCTCGTCCTCGTCGCTCTCCAAATTGATCTGATCGATACTAACCCTCACTTCATTGTCACTTTCATCCGACGACACGTCCCGAGAGGCGTGACCACTGCCCAGATCCATGACGGACCGACTCCGCCGCGACATCGACGAATGCCTCGAGTCCTGATTTCCGAACCGTCCAAACCCACCGCGTCCTCTGCGCGCACCGCCCATCCCCGTTCCCGACCCCAGCGGTCCGGCCGAGCCCATTGCGCCGCCTCGACCGCGTCCGGCTCCTCCACGACCTCGCGATCCGTCTTGAGCGCGACCGCGCTGAATCGCCGCCGCCTCGGCCAACCGCTCGCGATGTCTCTCCGCCTCCAGCTTCTCGATCGCCTCTCGCTCCTCCTTACTCCGTCGGCCCACCGCCCGCGGCTTATACTTTAGCGTCGGCTTCGCGGGCTCCCCGTCCGGACCGGCAGGCGGTTTCGCAGCGGGTGCAATGCTGCCCGAGGGGGTACGTTTCTTCAGCGTTTGCAGCCGTTGCACGGGGGCTCGCGCGGCGCCTGGAGTCGCGCTCGATCGCGTCCCCGTCTCGCCGGCCGATCCCGGCGCAGGACTAGCGGATGCGCCTTCGGTGCCTTCATTTCGTCGACTAGCGGCGGTGGCCGTTGCGGCAGCGCCTCGACCTCGGCGGGCTGCGGCCTTGGGGGGCATGTTGTGTGGTGTCGAAGTTTGTTTGATTGGATTTCGTTCGCTCGAAGAGCAAGCGGGCACAGATTCGATTTCGTTGATCTAGGCGTGTACGTGTGGAATTGATCGAGTCGGATAAGAAGAGGAGTTGATGGGGATTCCGTAGATAGATAACTCGTATATGACTCTGACGTTTGTATCGTTTAGCAGATCGTCATTACCAGATGAATAATTCTGACTCCGACGCACACACAGTCTCCCTGTCTTTCTCTTTCAAGAGAACGAGATAAGATAAACTAGGATATCAAAGAGAGGTAGATCTTTGACAGGAACAATATAGCGATATCAGACGTAGAAATACAATGGTAGAGAGGGAGGGGGAGTTGAAGGGGGGAAAATGTGAGTATAGAGGGGAATAAATTGGCAGAACGGAACAAAAAATGGGCGTGGAATTTGGCGGGAAAAAAAGAAGCGCGCGCTTATTCGCTGCGGGGCACGTCGAACATAATATTGACGCTAGTCTGTTTACAGATAGATGGTATAAGGCTGAAATAAGGCATCAGTTACTGCACCTCTCCTCTTTCTGGTTTCTCTTTCTTTGTGTCCCTCTATAGAATTTGAGATGCAAAACTATTAGAGCAAAACGATAAATTCACACTCTTCAAACATAGGCTAATAAATGAATGTATGTGACACTGGAGCAGTGATCCGTTAAGTATCAGCAGGAACGCCCCCCAAAAAAGGATTAAAAAAGACTCGACAAAGATGTCAACCCGCTCAGTTCAATCGCTAGACTATCCATGATAAACAAGGTAGGGTGCAGAGTGTAGCATGACGAACACTGCGATCGCAAGGAAGGAATGTGAGGAGCATCAGGAGGGAAGAGATCAGCTTGGGATCAACCCCAAACACTGTATGTAAGGAGAGAAACAAGGTGAAATATGGACGGTAGATAGACAACGATAGGATAAAACCAAGTTCACGCGATAAGAAGTTGTACGAAAACGGGAGAAGAGGATGAAACGCATGTGAATATGGGTGCTTGAAGCAGAGTTTTTGGACGATCAAAGGGTGGGTTTGTGTAACCTGGTGAGAAATGACCTCGGGGTGGAAACAAGACGAATGCAGGCGCAGAAGGATGGTCAGTGTGGAAGCACGAGGAGTCAATCACGGGCAGCCAGCAAGTCCCAACGAGCGAGGCGATTTGTAGGATCGCGAGCCCTAACGCTTGCGCTTCTTGTTTTTATCTGCGTTCGCGGAGAAGAGCGGACCTGTGGCTACCATCGGCAGGGACTCGGTGTTTTCTGTGGGAGAATCAAGGGTTTTCTTGACTGGAACTCCCATGTGGCGACCGTAGCGGCCTTTGCGACCATTCCCTTCGTCTTCGCTGATGCAACCCTCCAGTCCAATACCAGCATCCTTGCATCGTCCGCAAGGGCGCTGTCGATCGCAACCCTTCTTGCTCTTTCGACACCGCTGGCAACGCGGCTTCGTCGAGAGGTCTTCCTCGTCGGCTGCCAGCGGAGGCTGGAAGTTCACGGAAGAGGTCGAAGCCTTCCGAGTGGGAGCCGGGCTCACCATCTGCGGTGACATGGCAACTTTCGGCTGACCGGTAGCGTTGGAGGTCGACTTGACCTTTCGAGGCACGCCCACGGAGGACGTCTTGCTGCTTTTGTTGTGGCGCACCGGGGCCGATTTGGATGAGCGAGACTTATTCGAAGAGATGCCGTTCGGGCGTGTCTTGAGCTTCTTCGGCTTGGGTGCCGATTCTTTGTATAAGGTATCATCATCCGCTTCGTGTTTCACCAGGCCATCGTCAGGATCCTCCTGTCTGTAGTCGTCGTCCATGCCATCGTAGCTCCCATCAGAGCTGTCGAAGCTGGGTAGAATATCGTCCAGACGCTTGTGGGTGCGCTTGGTCGCACCAGGTGGGAGCATCGGGCTGGATTCCAGTCTCTGCCGGCTGCGCGCAGGAAGATCATCATCTTCCTCGCTGAAATCGTCTCCATCACTCGTCGCGCCCGTAGAGGAAGCTGCATCCGCCGCCCCGCTGAAAGCATCATCCAGAGTGGAGGCGGAGGTGCGACCATGCGAGAAGTTGGACGCATCCCCGAGACGGATCAGCTGCATGGCAACATCCTCGTCGGAGATGCAGCTGGCAATGGTCGGGTCGGGGGTCGGCAGGACGCCCGACCCGTTGCTTCGACCCGCCGGATTGCTCAGCTGGCCCGACGACTGGGTCGCGGTCCGGTCACGCAGGCGATGCCCATGGTCAGGAACGGCGGGCGTGGCATATACAGAATTGCGCGGGGCGCTATACGCATATACTTGTTCGCTGTGGCCGTAGCTCTGCGGCGAAGGCAGCGGTTGCTGGTAATTGTATGGTCGCTGGGCGGGGCGAGCGAACGGAGAGACAACTCCTTCTTGTCCGACAGATCGACGCTGGGGAGAGATCGAGGAGGTAGAGGTAGTAAGGGGAACCTGAGGAGGAACAAACAACGGTAATTCCTAGAATCAGAGAAAAAGGGGAAGCATCCCAGCGTTAGCACGTCTTTCCTATCCAGCGCATGAGACCGCCCCACGCGAGACAAGTAGTCAGACGAACCGAGCTCTCGAACTTGGGCCGTTTACGACGGCCATCTTGGAGTATATTCTCCATGCTGATATCCGAGCTCCCTAGCTGCTCACTTCGAGACTTCTTCCCCGAGACCGAGCCGTAGCCACCCTCGCTATCGCTGTAGCCGGAAGCTCCATCATCATGGAGGCTTCCATGGGTGCTCGAGCCCCGGCTCTTGTTGCCAGGTTTTGATGGCTGCTTGTGCTGGTGCTGGTGCTGGGAAGCGCTCCGACGGCTTCTTGCGGATGGCGACATACTGCGCTTCCGAGCAACACGAGAACCAGGACGAGAGGGTGGTTGGCTCGGGTCCAGCACCGATGCCGCTTGCATGAGCGGCATCTGGAAGGGCTCGCCAAGGCTGGGGCGTTTCCGAGCCTCCAGATGCCCGTAGAAGCGCTCGGCATAGTCATCCGAGTAGGCCTGAACCGGGATCACCCGAACGTACACGGTCATGTTATTCCTCAGATTTTCATACCTAGCGATGAGCGTGGTCCCATGTTCATCTTCGAAGCTGACACCGCTGGCAGCGCCATCGTAGATGCCATAGAAGTTCTTGACCGTCGTAACGATCGAGTCCGTGGTATCGTGAGGATAGATCTGCACTCGCATGGGAATGCGAGCCCGCACCTTCGAGTTCTCATCGAGGAGTAACTCGAAGGCCACGTTCTTTGGGACAGGGGTTCTATGGCTATGGGGGGATTCGTGGGGCGAATGGTGATTCGGGTAGGCGGGTGGCTGTCCCGGGACGGCGTGTCCTTCAAACTGCATAGCCTGCATCATGGAGGAGACCAGGGCAGACCGACTGCCACGCTGCTGCTGGATTGACGAAGTTATCAATCGACTGTTCCATATATAGGTTGGGCCAAATGGACCGGGCCACGGGATATGGTTGGGTGGGGGAGGAGAGAGAGCGACGCAGAAATCGGCAGAGGGAAGAGGGAGAACGGCGGCAGGGTACGGGGTCAATTTCTATCCAAACCTACCACGAAAAGAAAGACCAGAGGGATTTGGCTGGTAGATGGATCACCCGCGATTGTTTTAGAGCCGACAGACGATGGCGAAAGGTTGTGGATGGGATGGGAACACCCCAAGTCGCAAGAACCGAGAGCGATAGGAAAGGGAAGGGTAAAAAAACTGCCGCCGAAGACTAGTGGAAATGGCAACCAGAGGTCAGTACAATTCATCATCCGATATCCCAATGGAGGAGATGAATGGTCGGGGAGGATGGGATGGAGAGGCGACTCCTCGCAGGTCGCCTGTTGGGTCTTGCAGGTTTGGGGGGTGGAAGTGGGAGAAGCGACCCGAATCGCTCGGAAGACGAGGGAGAGCATCAAAGACGCACCTATAACAGATCAAACCTAATTATCCAGAGTCGCAGTTATACAAGTAACTCGAGAAGGAAAAGAGAAAACAGGCGATGGCGGTGGTCGAGGTCGTAGCGGTGGGAGTTGTCTACGAAGCGCCTGGGCATGTCAGCGGTGGTGGCATCACTGGTAGTCGACGCAGAACAGAAGCGTTTCAGGGGAGAAGGAAGTCGAGTAAAGCGAAAAAAGAAGGATATGAGGATAAACAGGGTGTAGTACATACCTGAAAAGGCTTGTCGATGAATGATAGAGGGCGGATGGTGGCAGAGGAGGGCGAAAGAGCAGGCGAGTTGGGGGAAGAGGAAGAGGAAGAGGTTGAGTCGAAGAAGCGGAAGAAGAGGAGAATGGATGGTTTGGGTTTCACCTAAAGAGGGTCGGTGACAATGCTGGCCTCGACTCCATCTCCCCTCGCTGCGTTGCATACACCCTGCTATTCCGCTTTTCTAATTTACAATTCTTTTATTTGTTCATTTTATTTTCTATCCAACTACAATTTGATCTTTTAAGAATTCGTTGTGGTGCTTTTCGTGGTCGCTCCATCGACTGGGCTCTTCCGTCGCATTTGCGCCGTCATTTCCTGGTCGCATTTGACCCGGATCGCATTCCTCCCCCAGTGCTCTTGGAGGTCTACTTCGATAGTCATGGGGGTCCATTGATTGCGACTGATTTCCGGGAGTCTATTCATGCCCAGCCTGGGCCAGCGCGGTGGACGACAATGCGATCCACTCGTCTTGAGATGGCAGTCTGGCGCAAATGAAACCAGACCAACCCGTAGGCCATTCCAGCTAGAGAAGCGACCGTGGGAGGATTCAAGACAATTCCATCCTACCGGACGCTTCCCATGAGCAAGAGCAGGTCCCAAACACATTCCACACCTCGCACCGGGATGATTCGCTGCGAGCGCAAGAAGTGGCGGACTAAAATGGCACATCCTCAGCGCGGCCACGTCGAATGACCCGATCACATCCCGGCAAGCTAACTAATCCATTCCGTCATCGTCGCTCCTGTACATTCTTTTGAATTTTCGTCCATTCGGCAGGGTCAATGCCCATGCCATATGTAGCATCATTGCGAGTAAAGAGTAAGAGTGAAGGAGGATTTGCGACCAAGAGTCAAGCCAAGTCATCCATAGGATGCCCGTGCCGTCAGGCCGCCATCGTCCCGTGCGAAACCATCAAAGCCGGTGGATATCAAAAGAGCAACTCGCCCATTCCTATGGTAGGATGCTATCCTGGTCGCTGTGACCGTCGGGCCTCTTCCTGCTCATTTGTTCCTCTTTCCGACAGAGATAGAGACAGAGAGCGAGAAGTGACAGCGACGGCGGACAAACGGCACCGCGGATGACTCGAGTCCGGCGAAGCTGTCGTCGAAACGAACAGGAAATGCAACTTCCGTGCAAACCGGTTACAAAGAAGAACCGTGATCATTTGAATAATCAACAGAGGCAGGCATCGCAATCGGCGAGAACGAGCCAAGCCAGCGACCGCGCCCAATTGCCTCGTTTCATGATCTGCGCCTGTCCAGACTCGTTCGTTTACCCCTCCCTCGGACTACGTAAGGATCACCTTTGGGGCGGATCATCCTACGCCTTACTCGACTCTATTTTGCTACTATTTTTCTTCCCTGGTCGGGTCGGCGCCTATCGCATCTTGGTCAGCGACGTGCGCGCTGACTCTAGATCTTTTCCCCGGGTCCCCAAAGGCAAAAAGCAGGAGAGGGAAGCGTCGCATCCATCATCTGGGACGGACAAAGCCGTCGCATTGAAAGGGGAAAGAGCGCATGTCGATTCTAGATTGCGAACGAAAGAAAAGAAAAGAAAAAGCGACGGAGGGAAAGGGTCTCCCAGCAGACGAACCAGCTGGCGCAACGATGCCGTTAGCCGGGTGGGGAGAGATGCGTTTGCAATCCGACCCGACAAGGGACTCTCCTTCCCTTCAGTTCCTCAGGCCTAGATACATCATATGTATGGCTTTGGTCTTGATAGCCCCAAGCCGAATACAAAGCACGGTAAAGAACCAAGAATAATAAGTAAGCGAATGGGCGAAATCGAGAGGCAGGAAATCAAATTACTATCCTCTTCGGGGACCTTTGGGCGGGGCATTTTTTTTTGGAGCAGTCGTCGATTTGAGGCCGCACACCGAAAGTTTGCGACGCTGTTTCTTATTGTTGTTATATTTACTGCCTTTATTTCTTACTATTGACTACGGTCCGGCCTCGTATTGGTGTCATTCTTTCCGACTCTTTCCTTTCCCTTTCAACCATGGCCCTCGCCCCCCCCGTTCGCTTGTTTTGGTCGTCGCCGAACTCGCCGTCCCCCCCAAAGTCTCCGGGATCTTGAGAACGGATGGATTGTAATTTATAAGTCATGCGATGCCTCTCCGCCGATGAATCAAAACAGGCGACGGTCCAATTTTTCAGTCCGGGAATGACCAAGTTGTGTGAATTGTGGATATCATGCCTCATCTGAGGTACCGCCCGATCCGCGTCCCACATTGGGGATCGGGCTTCCTGGGTGGCTTTTTTGCCCTTACGCGAGCGGAGAAGGCGACGTGAAAGAATCCAATCCGATCCGTCCGTCCAGCGCATAACTGCCCACCTTGTATCTCGCCTCTCGATATAAAACCAGACGGCTTCCTTGCGCAGACTTGCTGGTCGGGGTCGATGCCGGGTCGCTGCATTTCGGCGACTGTCTGCCATCAACTGTTGCCCTTAAACCAATCTGATCCATGATTAAACTGACGGGAGAAGGTCGGTCGGACGAGAGGCCAACTGCGTGGAACCGGGCGACGTTTGATGGCTTGAGCAGGTGCCAGAAGTGTCGAAGGTCTCGAATCCCGCAGCGAAGCCGGCGACGGACGATCACGTGTTCTCGCGTTTAATGGGCGCCGCCCCCGTGTCGGACGGCGCGTAAAGTACCTTGGACAGGTTGCATCCTGCCAACGTTCCATTCGAGGGCTGGGGGAGGGTATTTTGATATGGAGATCTGTCGCATGTATGTCAGAATTATTTTGCTTTTTTCCCCAACGTATTTAACCCCTTTTGATCGAGACACTCGTGATGGAGTCCATTACGCACGGCGGGAGAAGACGCGACGGATGATGTCATGAGCCAAGACTGGTGCAAACCAGACAAACTAGACCTGACATAAGCATTCCACGGGCGGACCGGAAGGGGCTTAGCGGCAGTCCGTTGTTGACGGTAACCAAGTAAGGAAGTAACCGGATTGGGCAATGCGGCCATCACCAGTGAGACGGGCAGCGCTGCCTGTTCCCTCAGGCACTGTTGTTGCTCGGCCATCGCCTTTGCGGCTCCCTCGTTCTCTTTTCACTTTCTCTCCCTCTCGTCCAAATCTGAGTCAACAAACCCCGTCGCTCTCGTGTATCTACGTTGCGTCGATTTTCTTTCGTGCGTGGTTCAAATCCCTCTCGACAATCCCTGCGTCGGTGTCCTACAAGAATTCTCTTGGCACGGGTTTTGTTGTTTGTTTGGGGGTAGTTTTAGTATAAGTTTAGCTACCACCAACGGAGAACTCCTGCGAAGAGGTAAACAATCGACCAACTCTCCCCCAATCCTCCCCACACGCGGTCCGGTGAAGGCTTCAACCTCCCTCTGGTGCCAATATGGATGCAAAGGTATGTTTGCTCTTTTTTTTTTTATTGCATCGTTCTCCTCTTTGCCCTGCATCTGGTCTGTCGCTACAGACGAGCCCCGTCTGTATGTCGGGAAATTTCGACGCGCCACAGATCCGTCTTTTCTCATCTGTACTTGCTGCGCTCGCAACTACATGTTATACAACGATATACTGACTGGACATAACCAATGACAGCCCCAGCGAATTCGCGTCCGCGGAGACGAGAATGCTCCCCTTCATCTCGCCGCCGGCAAGACCGTTCACCAGAAAAACAAGTCCACCCCCGCCCTGTCGACTATGTTCCAGAATGGCGGAACCAAGAACGCTCCTAGAAGAGCTGCCTTTGGAGACGTGAGCAACACGCAAGGCAGCCGAGACGATGCCTCTCTTGCCGGCAAGAAACAACTCAAGGTATCGGAGAAGCCGTCGGCCGTAATTGTGGAGAAGAAACAGGCCGCGCTCTCTCAGCCCGCCCAGCGTCCCAAGTCAGTGAGCGGGCTGAGAGGCCTGTTGAACAACGCGTCCAACCCTAAGCCCCTCGAGCCCTCTACGAAGCAGCTGGGCGTCTCGCAACAGACCGCCAACGCCCGCAAGACCCTTAACAAGCGAGGAACTGTCTTCAAAGACCCCTCGGAGCCCCTAGCAGAGAAGAAAACACTTACATCCAAGGAAACCAAAAGCGAATCAAACGAAGCGAAACACGCGCCGACGGCGCCTTCTCAGCTAAACACCCGGGAGGAAGAGGTTACATCAAAAGAGGAATTGGAAGAGCCCCTTTCAGATGAGCTGGATCCATCCATTGCTCTTTCCGATCTTCCCGAGGAGGAGGAGGAGGAGGATGTATCAAAGATCAACGACGATGACTGCAAGATCCAGGGTGTCAGACGCATCAGCAAGACCGAAGAATCCCACGCAGCCGTCACAAATTTGGACCGCGTCGCGAAGCCTCGCGATAGTGTTGAACACGTCACCATCCAGTCGGAGCCCGAGGAATACTGGGATGAAGAGGACGACGAGAACGAAGAGGATGATGGATACATTACGGCTCGCTCATATCGTTCTCGCGGGGATAACACGACTGGCGCAACCACGGCCATGCTCTTCCCTCGCTTTACCCAGAAGGTGAAACAAGAGTTGGCTCGCGCAAAGCAGATTGTCGAGGAAAGCCGAACGCAGGAGGACATTGAAGAAGAGCTTTGGGATACCAGCATGGTTGCTGACTACAACGAAGATATCTTCGATTACATGAAGGAGCAGGAGGTAAGTGTTTTGAGCACGCCCGTCCTATTTATTGCTTTGACTAATGTATACCGTGTTACCAGATCAAGATGCTGCCAAATGCTCACTACATGGACAACCAAGCAGAGATCCAGTGGTCAATGCGCTCGGTGCTGATGGACTGGCTTGTGCAGGTCCACCATCGCTTCGGCCTGCTTCCGGAGACGCTTTTCTTGTGTGTCAACTACATCGATCGCTTCCTCTCGTGCAAGATTGTCTCCCTGGGCAAATTGCAGCTTGTGGGTGCTACGGCGATCTTCATCGCTGCCAAGTACGAGGAGATTAACTGTCCCTCCGTGGGCGAGATCGTGTACATGGTTGACGGAGGCTACACGGCCGATGAGATCCTCAAGGCCGAACGTTTCATGCTGAGCATGCTGCAGTTTGAACTCGGATGGCCCGGTCCCATGAGCTTCTTGCGCAAGGTGAGCAAGGCCGACGACTATGACTTAGAAACTCGAACTCTCGCCAAGTACTTCCTGGAGATCACCATCATGGATGAGCGCTTTGTGGGCAGCCCCCCTAGCTTTGTCGCTGCTGGTGCCCATTGCCTCGCCAGAATGATGCTTAGAAAGGGATCATGGGTATGTTCTTGTCTAGCACCTTTTCTCTGTCTTGAAATGTTCTAACGCGATGACAGTCTGCCGCCCATATCCACTATGCGGGCTATACGTATTCCCAGCTGCTTCCGCTTATATCGCTCATGATGGAATGCTGCGAGATCCCTCGTAAGCACCATGCAGCAATCTATGATAAATACGCGGACAGGAAATTCAAGCGCGCTTCTCTCTTCGCCGAAGCTGAGATGCGCAAGGGATTCCGACTTCCCGAACCCTCTCAGGATAGCTCCATCTTCGATCGCAACCAACACTCTGACTATTGGAAGCGTGCTTAAGGCTCTCTGCCTACACTTGACTTATCATCGACTCTTATCACGACTTTCCTTGCATTTTATTTCGTCGTTTGACGCGTTTTATGATTGCGTACCTGCATTTACATTCACCTCTTTCCTTTACACGCGTTTGGGATACAATATGACGCCAACCGAAAAACAAAAGGCGACAAGATCGGAGAAACCGGCTTTCGAATGGGTGGAGTTTTTTCTTTTCTTTTTCGAATCTACTTAATGAAATCGGATGACATGAAAGACATGCATGCATGCAATCAATCCGGGTCTGGGGAGTTCGTGGGATGATGGACTTGCTTTTTTTTTTCTCTTAATTTTCGTTGCTTTCCTCTTTTTGTCTTGTCATACCCTTTCTTCGTTTCTTTTGTATGTGTTCTTTTCCCCTTACCATCTACCCAACTGTCATGACTTGCACGTCCCCCGGTGTGTTGGTATTCATCTCATGCGATCAATATCGATTCGACGACTCTTCGAGATTTTCTTTCCTTTGTTCTTCTAGTCTTTGCCCGTCATTCTCTTTTCTCTTTTTGGCCCATCTTATTTTCTTTGTTTATCATGGGTTAATGTCCAGGATTATGGCGCATACACTAGTCGAATTGGATTCATTTATCTCCAGTTGCTTTTCTTGTAAGGGTCTAATGACTTTTATGTTGCTGTGGTAAGATATTCGGCTGTATATTTACCGGCTCGACGTGCAATGCTTAAGCTTTTGAAAACAAATCAATTACCAAGTCATCAGTTTTTTCACTAAGAGCAGGTCATGTAATAAGAAGCTCATTTCATTCAGCATCCAAGCCTCCTGAGTACTTCCTTACCCGAGAATAACTGACCAAAAGCAACCATTTAGGTCATCGTAACCAACCTTTTTAACGATCCAAAACACTCTCTTCTATCTACCTGTCTATTTTGATATATATCCGCGGAGCGATTCACGCAACACACCCCTCTAACAACCAAAAAACACGCAATCCACGATCCACAAAACGGAGAACTCATTGACTCATTGATCCAAACCATTAAACTCAATCAACTTTTTAACCACCTCGATCACCTGGTTCGCCGTGTTCGAGGAGCTACCACTTCCACTGCCGTCGTTCGGATTATCGATTTTCGACGCGATGATCTCGTCCAGCATCATCCGCAGTCGGGAGACGAGGACACCGATACGAGCCCAGCCGCGGAGTCGGAGCCAGCCGTCGACGACGAGACCTCGGCCCATCGTATCGAGGGAAATGGAGCCGCAGAAGAGGAGGAGGGAGTAGGCGTTAAAAGCTATTGTTTGTAAAGTTACGTTAGTTTGGTAAGTAGGTAGGGGTTTTACTTTGGTGGTTATGGGTGAATTGGACGTAGGGGAAGAGGGGGGCAACTGACGGGTTAAGTCACGGATGAAGACCTTGCTGGTGGCCATCTTGGTGAAGTAGCTGAGGTATGCGGCCGCGCCGGGGTAACTCTGGGCCGAGAAGAGGAGCGAGCTGGGGTGGATGAAGACGCGGCCGTTCTCCTGGTTGAAGTACTTGATGGTGCGGGCGTCCGGGTCGATCTCGACAGTACCGGTGACGGAGCTGGCGAACTTCTTGTCGGGGAAGGAGATTTGCGCGATCTGAGGTTGGAAAGCCCCTGCGACCAAGGCGCGCAGGAGAGCCCGGTTCCCGGCGTTGCGGTTCCAGCGGGGATCGGTGCTGGAGTTGGAGGAGTCCGAGTACTCGACAGGCAGGAGGCCGGCGTCTTTCAGCGAGGTGAGGAATTGAGCTTTGTTGGAGGAGATGTCGCGGAGGGTTTGGTGCGAGAGGAAGTTGTCGCCGCACCAGGACTGGGTCTGCCAGTATCCATGGGCCTTGACTCGCTCGGACCATTGCTGGTAAGCCGTTAGATCGGTGAGAAGGTCTCCGTCGCCCTTGGAGAAGGATGATCGCGCGGCATCGGCCTCTTCGCGGCGGTCGCGAGGAGAAACGAAGGGACTCTTGACGGTGAGGATGGCCGAGATGGTGATGCAGGGGTCGATACAGCCGAAGATGGAGCCGTAGACCATCAACTTAGCACATCGTAGATCGGCCGGGATCATGGAGAGATACCGTCCGAGGGCTGTGAGTCGGTCGTGGTCGAGGGCACCCACACGGTGCAGGAAACTTAGGGCTCCTTCGACGGCTATACTTTCCGGTGGCGTGATAGTGTTGGCTAGGAACGTGGCGACGTCGTCCACTCCTTGCATGGATTTGACGGACAGACAGAGCTGCTCGAGTGGCACGCGGCGGATTTCAGGGTCCGGACGAGCTGCCATGTTGGCTTCGGCCTTGCGCGTGTAGAGTTTGTAGCACGTTCCAGCCCTGACACGACCGGCACGTCCACGACGCTGCTTGCATGCGGCCTGGGAGGCCCACACTTCCTGGAGTCGGACCATGTTGTCCTTGGGATCGTAGCTCGTTTCCTTGACACGGCCAGTGTCGATGACGGCGACAATATCCTCGATAGTGATGGAGGTTTCGGCGACGTTGGTTGCTGCAATGACCTTTCGCTTGCCTTTTGGAGGACTGAGGAAGACGCGCCGTTGCTCATTGGGCAGAAGAGATGCATGTAATGGCAACGGGTGGGCATTGGGGATCCTCTTCACGGCGTTCAGGCATCGGTCAATTTCCATAGTACCGGGTAAGAAGATCAACACGCCTCCCGGCTGATCCCCTAGCATCGCATCGATATAACGGACCGTCGAGGCAATGAGCTCGTAATTGATTCCCATGCCGATGCTACGAAGAAGCTTACCGAGGGACTCGTCGCCCTGTGACGAGATTGCATCTTCGTCGAAATCTCGGTCAGAAAACTCCGGCGAAAATCCAGTGTCGCGGACTATGTCGTCCAGGTAGTAGTCATTCACAGGGAATGTCCTTCCGGGAATGTTCACCAAACCAACACGGTCACGGCCACCAAAATAATCGATGAAAATGTTGGCGTCGAGGGTTGCACTCATCAGAATAACCTTGATGTCCTTGCGGAAACGGAGAATATCTCTCAGGAGAGCCAGAAGGAAGTCGGTATCAAGACTCCGCTCGTGGACTTCATCCACCACGACGTGAGTAACGTCCGCGAGAGAGCTGGCGACATTGCCATCTGCGCCACTGCCCGATTGTATGCGACGGAGCAAAACACCGGTGGTGACAAAAGTAATCTTCGTGGCACCGGTCTTGACCTTGGAGTCACCGCGAATGATGTATCCGACTTCCTCGCCAACTGATGTGCATCGCTCGTCGCTGACTCGGTCTGCAAGACCAAGGGCAGAGATCCTTCGTGGTTGCGTGCAGATTATGTTCGCAATTCCGCCCAAGTTGCGCTGGATCATATCATCCAACACGAATTGCACCGACTGAGTACTCTTACCACTTCCTGTTTCACCAGAGATGATGGTGACTTGATTCTTGTTGACGGCCCGGACAATGGCATCCTGGATATTCCACGCGGGAAGTGATTCTCGCTTCTGCGTCATATCCTGCTGGGCTTTGGTTAACTGCTTGGCCTCCCATGCCTCGCGAATAGAAAGGCTCTGCGGTGACCCTGCTTGCCATGTAATCTCCCTTGCCTTCTTGCGCGACTGACGAACGGGCATTTCCACAGTAGACGTGGAAACCGACGGGGCCGCCGTGATTGTGGCAATGTCTCGTAGTTTGCCTGGATTCTCCATGACCGCAGAGAAATTGACCTCAAGCCAGTCTAATATATTATATATCATCGGTTCACCGAGGAAGTTCTCCTCGGAGTATTGCACAACCTGACGGATAGCACTGAGGCGGATGTAAGCCGGGATGTCTTTGGTCTGGAGTAGAATGATCGGCACTCCGGACGGATAATGGCCGGAGGGTTTCTGGAAACGAAATGACATATTCTCCAAAGCGCTCGGCGATTCACCCTGTATCTCGCAGACCTTGGGTGAGATTCGACGGTAGCGTTCCCCGAAGACTGCTTCCAGGGTCTCTTGCTCTTCGGCCCAGACATCCTCAGCATCCTCGACGGATGTTGAGTCGGTAGAGGCACTCTCTCCATGTACCAAAGTGCCCTGTAAGAACTCTGCAGCTGCAAGCTCGTCGCCTTTCTGGCTGTCTAGGATGCGCGAGCAAAGATCGGCAGGGTAACCGACAGCAGAGAGCCGTTTGATCTTGGCCTCCTTTGCAAGGTCATCGCTCGCGAGACTCACGCCGGCAGAATACCTCTCTGGTAGACACCAGGAAGGCAGGTCATCCTCCGGAACGTAGATCAGAAGCCATTCGAGAACTTCTTCGCGGTCTTTGCAAGCGGCCGCAGCCTCTTCGACGTGGCTGCGTCGGAACCCTAAACGTGCGAATTCGTCGATCATGGCCTTGCGCTCGCTCTCCGGAATTCGCACATTGTAAGGGTTCCAGATGGTATGTTGACGCAACAGTCCTTCGATATCCCGACGAACCCTGTTTCCCAAATCCACTTTGGGAGCTTGCGACCATATTCTCTTGCTTTTGTTCTCACCACCGGATCCCGACCCCAGCCCCAGATCGACCGTCTTGTTGCTAGCTTCTTTCGCCTGGGTTTTCTCGCGCTCTTTGCGCTTTTTCTCCAGATCTGCCGCCGCACTCTCTCGCTCTTGTTTGGCCAGGAAAGGATCGGCCTCGTACATCCAGCCTTTGCCTTCTTTACTGTCCGTGGCTTTTATTTGCGAGAAATCCTCTTTCCAAAGCTTCTTGTATGCCGGCGGAAGCATCATATGTAAGTTCTTCATGTTGCACACTCGGAACAGCGCATACGCCGCGGCGAAATGGCGAGCTTCCAGCGCAGTAGCTTGCGCCGCCAGGTGTTTGTGGGACGGAGGGGGTTTCATGGGAGGAAGAATGGACGTTTCTCGGGTTTTAGGATCGACGCGTTTCAAAATGACCGATGATATATATCCTTCTGGAGTTTTTGCCTATTGCATTAAAGACCGGTTAGCTCAAAATGCTTGCGCGACGGTAGGAGTCGTGTCAACGGCGTCGTCTGCCACTCACCATCGTATACTCGGGCTTTTCCCACTTCTGCTTCTGGCAGTGCTCGGAGAGCATATTGACCGGCAGCTTGCCCGTCCATGATGCGCCGCCAATGACTTCCTTGACGGAGGGTTTCTTCGGCTCGTCCGTCGCAGGAGGCGCCTTCGCCTTCGTGGCCTCCGCTGATCGCTCGGCGGCCGCTTTGGCTTGCTTCGTCCCCGGTTTGGGACCCCCTCCACGGGCGTCGGCCTTTTTCTTGGGGCCCATTCTCTTTCCGACCGACGAATATACTTGAACAGACGCCCGTGGAGTCAGTTACCGAGCTTGTCGCGGAAGGTAATGACTATATAAAGAGGAAGGAAAAGATGCTGGGAGGCAAGTTGGTTGTCCCGCACTTTATTACGGAGTAGACCGCATTTTTCGGCGATTTCCCTCTAGGGCTGCGGGGAGCCGATCAGGAAAGGTCGGTCGCCCGCATTCTCCAGCCTGCGCATTCTTTCCTTCCTTCCTTCCTCTTCTTCTTCTTCTCCTCCATAGGTTCCAGTCATGACCACTCGCCAATCCGCTCTTCATCATGTCCTCCGAAGAGAAGGATTCGCCCACTGTGGGTATGGATAACGCTAATCCAGAGTCGGGGACCCAAGAAGGGAAGACCGCAAAGCGAGACGCCTGTATGCTTCATCCATCCATCTTCTCCCCTTCTCCACCCCGTCGCGCGAATTAACGTATAGTCTGGTCTAGTCGCAGAGCTTCTTGCCCCCAAATCCAAGCACCCGAAACACACGAACAATCGAGATTCGCGCGACAAGAGAGCCGTCGGTGGGCCGCGGGATGCTCTCGGCGCCTACATTGTCAGGCCGGAGTCATATCCCTCCAACGTCGTCGTATACTATAACAAAGACTTCGTCGTCATCCATGACCTCTTCCCCAAATCTACCCTGCACTTACTTCTCCTGCCCCGCGATCCCGCGAAAACCCGCCTACATCCGTTCGACGCCTTCGAAGACCGCGAGTTCCTAGATAAGGTGAAGGCGGAGACGAAGAAGCTTCGCACGTTGGCTGCGGGTGAGCTCAGACGCTTACACGGGAAGTATTCGGCGCAGGATAAGCAGCGACAGGATGCACTGGATGCGGATCCGCCGCCGGAGGAGCTGCCGCCGGGACGCAACTGGGAGCAGGAAATCAGGTGCGGGATCCATGCGCATCCGTCCATGAACCATTTACATATCCATATCATCGCTGTGGATCTGTTCAGCGATCGCATGAAGCACAGAAAGCATTACAATAGCTTCGCCACGCCGTTTTTCGTCGATATTGAAGATTTCCCTTTGGCGCAGGATGATGTCAGAAGAGACACGGATCGAAAGGGCTATCTCAAGTACGCGTTCAAATGCTGGCGTTGTGGTCGTGATTTCGGGAACAAATTCACCGAGTTGAAGAAGCACTTGGAGAAGGAATTCTACGAGTGGAGACAGCTATAGGTGAAGTAGAGAAGAGACGATACGACCACGTTATAGCTATTACTTTTGTTACTACGCTCGATCACTGCGCTCTCATCGCAAATTCCTCGTCAACCGAATGATTGTGTATATATTTGTATAAACCCGTAGGGATAGGCCTTCTAAGAGCTACACTGACTCGGTTTAATTTCCGTAACTATACATGCTCTAACCATGGATAGCAGCAACTCGAGACAGATTGCATTTTCAGCAATCTTGTTCGCCCAAAGTCGCCAATCATACATAAGACTCGCTGACAGAAACCAAAGTATTTCCAAGGCCAACGAGGCTTTTCAACCCCTCTCCCAATATTCTCACATAACCGTCACCGCACTGCCAATCTAGGCACGGCTCTTAGACCGGGAGCTACCCTTGACCTTCCGAGCCTCGGGACGGTTGATGTGGTGAGCAGGGATCCACTCCGCGTTGTAGGTGGTCGCAGAGGAGACGGCGGGGCTGCTGGGGGCTTCGACGGCAACCTCGGCCTTCTTGGACACAGAGGCCTTCTCAGGACCCTTGCCAGACTTGCGCTTCTGAGGGAAGTAGGGCGCAACCCAGACGGTGTAGAAGAAGTAGACGACGCCGACGAAGCAGGTCAGGAGGAAGAAGTACAGGAAGATGCTAAAAACAGCACCCAATGTTAGCCAATCTTCTCCAGATCAAGTAACTGGGGGCGAGCAGCTCTTACATCTGAGGATCGAAGATGCTAGTCTCCGGCTCCACGACACTGACGGTACCGTTGTGGGCGTAGACAGTGAAGTATCTTCCCTCGCTATCGGACAGAACGGAAGCCAGAGAGAGTCTCAGATCCTGGGGGTGCATCTCGGTGGAGAAGCTGTAGCTGACGCTCTCCTTCTCGCCGGCCGGGATCTCGACGCCGTACGCGGTGGCAGTCAAGTTGCGCACCACCTGGCTCTCTTCCTCGTCCAAGGTCGACAGGGTACCACCAGCAAAGTTGACGGTGACAGGGGCCGGCTCATCGTTGGTGAAGGTGATCAGCGCTTGGGTGGGCAGGCCGTTGACCAGCTTCACGCCGAAGAACTCCGACGCAGGGAAGGAGGCCTGGGCGGACACAGCAAGCTTGGGCGACTCAACGTTCTCTTCGACCTTCTCAGCAGGGTCCTGATGATGAGAGCGAGAAGGGTCAGTAATCCAATTGGGCCTGTGTGAAACAACAAACAAAGAGCAGAGAGAGAGAGCGTACTGCGGCGAGACCACCACCAATCAAGGCCTGGACAGAGAATAGAGCCAGAGACAGGAGACCGAAACGAGCCATTGCGACGTAACCAGAACAGACCAAAAGTCTGAAAGCAATTCAAGAAGACAACGGGAGAAGAGAAGAGGAAGGACTCAGAGAAAGAGAGGGAGAATGGGGGAAGGGAGCAAGAGAAGGAGAGAGAGAGAGCAAGAGAGGAGAGATGATTTTCTCCACGTAGGCCAACTTCCCCAGTCGCCCGCTGACTCAGCCACCGCCTGACTGGGCGTCTCTTGCCGCTGGACAAAGAAGTTTTAATTTATTCTTGTCGACCGTTTGTCGTGGAATTCCTTGGAGTTAACCGGTATCCACCGGTTGTTTATAGAAAATCTAAATAAATCTGCCATGTAGATCGCTCGCATGCTCTGTCAAGTGAATGGATGCCTCCAGCGCGTAAAAAACTCTCCTTCACTCGTTCTCCCCGTCACTTTCTAGCTTGATATATACCTGCCTAACCCTCTCTCCCACCCCCCTCTCTCTTTCTTCCTCTTGTCTTAGATCTCTCCACTGTTTACTAGCACCTGTTGTCCTGACCTCCCTCTCCACGCTTTCTCCGCAATCAAACCATCTCTTGATCGTCGCCGGAGCCATCATGACGGCACTAGGCTATTTTGAGCGCTATCAGCAACTATCATTGATAGACCAGAAAAAGAACGCTCTCATTGAGGTAATGGCCCACTGCTGTACTTGGGAAGACGTGATTTTCTAATTAGCATAAATTATTACCGCGTTTAGGACCTTCTTCAACGCGTGACAGAGCTAGAGGAAGCATATCAACAAGAGAAGCTTGACCATGAACGCGAGACCCGCTTTAATCGGGACATCCAGATAAACGAGATGGACTTAATGGATAAGGTATCCAGATTGAAGACTGTCATGGTAAACAACCTACTTGCCCCCCTCGTACTGTACAACAACGTCGACTAATAATTCCACGTGGCTGGTAGGATCGTGTACCCTTCGTTGTGGTCCTTCTAGACGGCGATGGGATCATCTTTCAAGATAATTTCCTACAACAAGGAGGACAAGGGGGTCGGAACGCGGCGACAAAGCTTCAGACGGCCTTGCAGAACTATGTTGCCAGTAACTTCCCTCGAATCGCCTCTCCCAAAATAATCACCAAGTTATATGTCAACGTGAAGGGACTGGCAGAGCTCTGCGTTCGAGGCGGAGTTACCACTGAGCCTTCTTTGATCGAAGAATTCGTTCGCGGCTTCAATGGGGCCTTTCCACTCTGTGAAATGATTGATACTGGGTGTGGAAAAAATAGCGCGCATGATAAGATCGCAGGTACTGTGCTATTCATCACCCCCTTGCAGCGCTCTTTTTTCCGACCCAATAGGCTGACCGTTTGCTGTTTCCCCTCTGCCTTAGAAACATTCCAGCTAAATCTGTACAACTGTCATTGCCACCAGATCTTCCTTGGGTGCTCGCAGGATACTGCCTATGGGACGATCCTGGAAGTTATCCTGCATGAAACAGATCTCATTGGCAGAGTGTCTCTGATTGAAGGCCTTCCCTTTGATAAGAAACTGGATTTGGTAAAGTCGACATACAGAGTAACTAGATTCCCCGATCTCTTTCGAGATACAAAAATAGCTGTATGGGCTCCCTGGAAAGCTGCGGTGGCCAGCAAGCCGCGCTCTGCCTTCACACCGTCACCTGTACAGCAAACCGTATCTCTTTCACGAACCTCAACCAATACCACCACGTCCACTAGCAATGATTTTCCGCTGTCAGTTGCGTCTACCCCCGCAAAGAATACGAATCTTGGTGAATTCCAGATTGTACGCGCCAAATCATCGAACTCTTCGCCACCACCCAAAATTGTGGAGCGAAATAAGTACGGTCAGCGCGTAGATCGAATTGATTTCAAAACCATCCCTCGAGAAGAAATGAACCGCATGAAGAAGCTGAAGCTTTGCAACTTCTATTTTCTGCTGGGAGAATGCCCGAATGAGAATTGCATTCATGATCATTCGCGCAACCTGACCAAGAGTGAACTTTTAATTCTGAAAGCGGTCGCTCGCATGACGCCTTGTCGCTATGGGACAGAATGCGACGACATTGACTGTATGTACGGCCATCGCTGTCCACATAGTGAGCCCGGTAAGAGTGAGTGCTACTGGGGATCGGCTTGTCGATTTGAGCCTTCTGCACACGGCATTGATCTCAATGTCGTCAAAGTCACGAAAGTCTAGCTTGGCCCGGTATCATTTCCTGCCGAATGCAGATGTCTCGATTCATTTTTGCCTGAAAATCGCTATTTTGGCCAGCGTTCCTTCCCCTGTTCTCTATTGGCCTTTCGGCGCTTGTGTATCTGTCTCTTCCCTGTTTTGTGATTTACTGCGCCTTTTTCTTGACGACGACCCTGTCCAGCTTGACCATCCCCTCAGTCTCATTGTATTTAGTATCGTTCTTTCGTTTCGTGGACATGAACTTAGGAATGAAACTTGCACCTACTTGACGATTTGTCGCAGGAATTACAGAAACAGTTCGTACGAATTTCACTTGTAGACTCGTTCAAAGATTATCACTGCCTAATACTCATGATATTTGTGACCAAGTATAACTAAAATGCAAAAACCTTCACTTCCGCCTATTATCGAACATGACGAAGCAGGTGAGGTTAATACTGAACATTAAGGGGTATAGAACCTAAGCGCAAAACGAAAGTACAAGCACAAGCAAGGCGGTCATTTAATCCTCGTTTTGAACATCCCGAACCGCCTCTCCCACCCAAAACAACCGTCATGACCACAAGAAGAATCCTCTTCAGACCCGTCATCGGTACCGGCACGATGAGAGCACTTGACTCCATACTCTTGGATGCAACAAGCAAAAGGCCGCATTGAATTAGCCTTCGGAGTCTGGCCATTCTGCTCAATAGCTTTCCTTTTGTTCTCTTCAAGGTCTCCCCAGAGGAGAAAGAGCTTTTCTCTTAAACGTGCCAGGTCGTCTGGTTTGTTGCGCAAACTGGGGACAGAGTTCCAGAGTTAGCAGCTTGTTTCGTATTTCGTCTGTTTTTAACTTTGCCATATGACTTACTCGCTTGCGTCAAGACCTGTTAGGTGCACTGCTTCCACATCAGACACAAAAAGTTTCATCTGCTCTCTGGCCTGCCCGGGGGGTGGCGCGGAGGAACTTTCGATGAGAAGACAAAAGCGCCATTCCCACCTGTTGAATTGTTCACCAGTTGCACATTCAAGTTCAAATCGAGCAAGCGGTTCGTCGTCTTGTCTTTCTGGTACAGCAAAATCCTCTAGTTTATGAGGGAAAAAGTCGACGACGCGAACCATAGACCGGTAACAGAGATTCTGGAACGGGAAGCGATATTTAACGCCATCAGGCGAGACATTGTTGTGTGATTCGTTGGTAAGAATATCCTCGATTGGGAGGTCACTGCAGCTGCTATATGCAGCAGTGACTTGGTTTGGCGGACGGATCAGTATGAAAGGGCTTATGTTTGGATGAGATGGTACTTACTATTCGGATTGGGGGCGTTTCGGGCCCTGAGATCGATCGAAGTTTGACTTTCATCCTTCTTTGCCTCGGCCTTCTGTTTCTGGTTTTTCTTGAGCCGTTTCAAGCGCGATGGCGGCTCGTCATCTTGTGCAAGTTTTCGTTTTGACGGGTTTCTGCGCCAATATTCCTCCTTTCGAAGTAGAAGCTCCTGGGCTCGTGCATCATTTTTGGCGGTTATTAGGCGGACTTTGCCCTTTTCGATATTGTATTTGTTGCCCGTACGGATGATAGCCTCCATGGTCGTGCCGAATTTACACCGTGCAATCTCAACGTTGCTTAGATAGACAATATCCCCCTCGTTAACATTTTCTCGAACATAGGAATCATACGGACTCCAAACTGTTACTGCGAGAGACAACTGACCGGATGGACCGGTCCATCTTCTTCGGTTGTTGCGTTGATAGTTGAAATAGTCGCCTTCTTGGCCCTTTTCATCATCGCTGTCATGGTCGGGTAGGTTCCTATTCATCGTGTAGTCGGTGATGTACATCAGGACGTGGTCGCCGCGAGGGGGGTAAATCTTGATAACCTCCCCGATAAGGTCGACATATGTTTTATAATTTGCATTATATTTTGCATCTTTGATCAGTGTGAAGCAACCAGGGGCAGAATATTTGGACTTCGGTGCAGTTGTACCCGAATGGAATTGGGGGGCCACGGGCTTCGTGGAAGAGATCCGAAACCCCTTGATCTTTGTACTATGTTCTAGTAAGGACATCGCAAGTCTCTTTTCCGTAAATGATGGCTCAAACGGTATCGGGCCACACATGGGCTTTGCAATGGACATTGGGTCTGACTCGTGACGAAACAGTGCCCATGGGATCGTCTTATCTTGGGCAGCCACGCCCAGTGGCTTGCTAGAGTACGCTCTTACCTGTGATCCTCTTTAGCCAGTGTACTCATGGGGATTCAGCAGTCTATCAAGCACGAACCCAAAGGTTTCGTAGGAGAAGCACGTCGCCAACCTGCACAGGGGGTAATTGACTTTCATTTTCTCGAAAGTACTTGATTTTCAGCCCATCCCACGTATGGCCGTTATCTAGATCCGAATCTTTGAGGGTAAAGGTTATGAAACTAGATGAGCTTCTGGACTTCAATGGAGCTCCCATGACATCGACCACTACCCCGACGACAGTTACATTGCCCTGTGTGGAAGTAGCCGTGGAGATATCCACTAATTCGGGATAACGCAGCGCTTCTGACATGGTCAATAGTAGTAGATCGTAGTGGCCATTCAGTAGGTGTTGCGCATGTTTAGTGAGCACGGAGGAGTCCCAAGGAGATGGATTGGGTAACTGTATGGGGAATCCCCGCGAGAAGTCGCCAGTCCGAGAGTCCAAACCACGGATTGGCAGCCGTGATGCACCGGAAACGCCAGGTCCAAATGCAAATAGCAACCGGATCCAATTCCAATATGGCAGGACGCGTTCTGGCGGCAATCGATCGCTTAGGCGGGAGTGGCGCTTGGCGGGCGGGTGGCCGAAAACAGCAAGCCAGCAGTGAGTCCCGTGACTGGGCAATCCCACCTCCGACATCAACACTTTTTTCCCCTCCTTCACCTCTTCCCCGGCTGTCTAGTCTTTCCTGTTATCCCTCTCTATCCTAGCCTCTGTGCTTTCCTTGCTCCCCCCGACAAATCATCGGGCTTCCATTCTTCATCCCTCTCACCTGCTCCACTTTTATCCTCTCCTTCCTTTTATTTTTCTTCTACTACCCCGTTGTGGGCGCTTTGTTTTCACCCCTCAGTGTCCCAAGCAACCATGGCGGAGCGCTACATCCCCGAGCATCGTCGCACTCAGTACAAGGCCCGAAACCAGTTCAGGCCTGATGAGCTCCGTCGTCGCCGTGAGGAACAGCAGGTCGAGATCCGAAAGCAGAAAAGAGATGAGAACCTGGCCAAGCGTCGTGGTATCCAGACCCGGGATGGTGGCATTGGTGTAGGAGGTGGCGTGGCCGCTGCTGAGAGCGACGACGAGGCCACTGCTATTGAAAGCGAGGTACGTACGATTTTAGATTATATTCTCGTTCCTTGACGTTATGTCAATTCAGTTCTTGCTTTTCTCTCTGTTTTTCCTTTGTTCGACTCTGTCGTGAGAGGCAGCGGCTTTGTTTTTTTTTTACCCTTTTTTTTGCCCTGCCCTCGTCTTGCGCCCAGCAACGAACTTGTCACCGCCCTGTTGCTATCCTACGATACACCAAATTTTTCTCTCATATTTCCTTCAGTATATACTGCCGTATCATGGGAATAAAAAATGGCTAATAAATCACTCTATAGCTCAACGTGGAATTGCCCGAGATGGTTAAGGGTGTCTTCTCCGAGCAAATCGAATCGCAAATTCAAGCTACGACCAAGTTCAGGAAGCTGCTCTCTAAGGAGCGCAACCCTCCCATCGAGCGCGTCATCGAGACCGGCGTTGTCAGCCGCTTCGTCGAGTTCCTCCGATCCCCTCACACTCTGGTTCAGTTCGAAGCCGCCTGGGCTTTGACCAACATTGCCTCTGGATCTGCCCAACAGACCCAGGTGGTCATCGAGGCTGGTGCTGTGCCGATCTTCGTCGAACTTTTGAGCAGCCCCGAGCCCGATGTTCGTGAGCAAGCCGTCTGGGCTCTGGGTAACATTGCTGGTGACAGCCCTCAATGTCGCGACTTCGTGCTGAACGCCGGTGCCCTCCGTCCCCTTCTCAACCTGATCAACGATGGCCGCAAGCTGAGCATGCTTCGCAATGCCACGTGGACCCTGAGCAACTTCTGCCGTGGCAAGACGCCGCAGCCCGACTGGAACACGGTATGTAACATTCCAATTTAAAGAAAAAAAAGAAAATTGTCGTTCTATCTCAAACTAACAATCTACTAGATTGCTCCCGCTCTTCCTGTCCTCGCCAAACTTATCTACATGCTTGATGACGAAGTCCTGATCGATGCCTGCTGGGCTATCTCGTACTTGTCCGATGGCGCCAACGACAAGATCCAGGCTGTCATTGAAGCCGGTATCCCTCGTCGTCTGGTGGAACTTCTCATGCATGCATCCACCTCGGTCCAGACCCCTGCTCTCCGCTCGGTTGGAAACATCGTGACCGGTGACGATGTTCAGACTCAAGTGATCATCAACTGTGGCTCTCTCCCGGCTCTTCTGTCTCTTCTGAGCTCTACCAAGGACGGTATCCGCAAAGAGGCCTGCTGGACCATTTCCAACGTTACCGCCGGTAACTCCAGCCAGATCCAGGCCGTCGTTGACGCTGGCATCATCCCCCCTCTGATCAACCTGCTTGCCAACGGTGACTTCAAGACCCGCAAGGAGGCTTGCTGGGCTATCTCTAACGCTACTTCCGGCGGTTTGCAGAAGCCTGATCAGATCCGCTACCTTGTTTCGCAGGGATGCATCAAGCCTCTCTGTGACCTGCTTGCCTGCCCTGATAACAAGATCATCCAGGTTGCTCTGGATGGCTTGGAGAACATTCTTAAGGTCGGCGACATGGACAAGGAGACTGCGCAGTCTGGTGACGCTCGCGTCAACCGCTACGCCCTGTTCATCGAAGAGGCCGGTGGTATGGAGAAGATCCATGACTGCCAGAACAACGCCAACGAGGAGATCTACATGAAGGCCTACAACATCATTGAGAAGTACTTCTCGGATGAGGACGAGGCCGGTGGAGATGTCGACGAGCTTGCTCCCCAGCAGACGCAGACCGGATTCGCTCTGGGCACCAACCAGCAACAACCCGGTGGTTTCACCTTCGCCAACGGCGGTGACTCCATGGATATGTAAAAGTGGAATATTATTTGCAAATCATTCATGACGCTCAAGTTGTCTCCGATTCTACTTGCTAGATCTTTACGTGGCGTTCCTTTGTTGCTTGATGCCGCCATGTCGAAAAAGAAAAAGAAACGAATTCTGCTGATGTTCCTGGAGACATTAAAACCTGTGTTTTCATTTGCCGTTTGAGCAATTCCAATCCCCCTCTTCTTCCCCGCTCCATCCCCACGTTGGTTTCGGGCCCCTTTCTCCTTTTCTTGTGTTATGATTTCCCGGGTTTTGATAGTTCACGATAAACAAGATTCACCGTCATGTATCCCCTTTCCCCTACCAAGCCCCCCTCCCTTTTCCATATGTCACCCACAATGTCCATTTCGTAGCATCCCATACACAGGCGTAACTGTTTCTTGATTCGGTTTTTGCTTCTTTTTTTTTTTCACTTTTTGTTTACCCTTGATTACCCAATCAGACTATTTCATTTCGGCCGTGTGTCTCTTTCTTCGCTTCCCCGGCCTACGTGGGCAAGATACCAAGTATCTCAACTAGACTTGACCCCTGGGGCCGGACATCAGTGGACGTAAGGAGAGAGACAACAGGCCAGGTCGTCTTTATCCCATGATAATGGATAGATAGTCCTGCTAGCCGAAAAATGCCAACCCCCTTGTTTCCTGCAATAATAATACATGGATCTGGTGGTTCTACGTACAGTGCGGTACGTACTCTGACCGTGCGTTTCTGTCCAAAGTAGAGCTGTAGAGTCGTACCTAGATACGTCACGTAACACCAATCCTACGTTCCACGAATGATACCCAAAACAGGGATATCACCGTCAATATAATGGTGCGGGGAAGAAACACCTTAAGAACAAATATACAGGGGAATGGCGGGATAGATAAGATAGCGTTACATACATCACGGACGCCCATCGCCACGAGACTCTTACATTTGAAGATAGAGAAAGTAGTTGAGAAGAATACCAAGCAAAAGGATCTGAAATAGATAAAGAAGAGAAAAGAGGGAAAAGTGGAATTATCGCAGCAAACAAACACCCTCAAATGGTAACGAATCAAAGTTATTCTGTACTCATAGCTGATCCAGAGCAATCACATCATGATAAAGTGAAGAGAAGAGAAGAGAGAAAAAGGAAAATAAGAATAAGAAATTGGAAAAGACAACCCAGTTAGATGTCAAATAAGAGACCATTGCTTTGCTTCAGAAGGAGAATTCGCATGCCGATTTAGAACGTCAAAAGAAAAATATCAGAGAACGGGGTCCAAGTGGGAAGAATCGAACAGAAAGACGAGTCTAGTCGCCCATGATTTCATCCTCATCGGGATCCGGCGCTGCGTGATTTGGCGCCTCCTCCTCGTCATCATCGGGGTCAATGATCTCGTCCTCAATTAGCCCCCTAGCTCGTAGATCTTCGTCGTCGTCGTCCTCGATGGGAGAATGCTCGCGATCTTCATCTTCATCCTCCTCATCTATTCTCTCGGCTGACTTGTGGTTGTTCGCACGTTTGTTGTTGGGGGCAGCCGGGGACTTAGGCGCACTCTTTGGAGCAGATGGCTTCGGTTTGGATGGGGCGCTCCGAGAGCCTCGAGATTTGGGCTCCACGAGGAAAGAGACTACCGCGCGATAATTGGGACCCAGTTTGGTTCTGCGTCTCAAGAGCGCCTTCTTCAGGTTGCCCTGTTGGTCGCCAGAAGCATCGATAATGCGCCCGACAATGGCAAGAACAAGCTTGCCAGTCAGTTCACACAGCCGTTGCTCTGCGATGATGCTGGATCGCAAGGCATCGTTGGCCGCCGCTTCGTCGTCTGAGTCAATTTCGGACTCATCGTCCGAAGGCGGTCGCTCCACATCTGAATCCGATTCCGGCTCTTCGGCATCAGCGTGCTTCAGAACTGACTTGCGCAGCTTGGCATATTTGCGTTCTGCTGTGGCGTGAATTTTGGAAACCAGGGTTTGGGTATTTGAGTCAATTTCGTGCACCAAGCTTTGAGTCTGGAGGATGACATCCTCGTCGTTGCTGGCATTTTGTCCTGGGTGGCGTAGAGTTCCGAACAATGTTTGTAGATCTAGAAGGGTCGTAATAGCAGCAAAACGGACGTCGTCCAAGTCTGAGCGTTTCTGCATAATGGCAACAAGGGTAGAAACGAACGTCTCGCGACTCTTCGTTAAGGCTTCAAAGTAAGCGGTACTGAAAGCCGCCTTCCCTGCGCTCAGCGATGCCCTCAAAGACTGCACTTTCCACATAAAGTAGAAGAGCAGCGTCCGGATGCTACTGATAACAAGCTCAGATTCAGCACTGGCCAGATCCTCGTCGTTCTCGTCTTCGCGAAGGCCACGCTTTGCCAAATGCAGGAGGGTGTTAAAAGGCACTTCTGAGCGCCCCTTGTTTTTGCTTTTTGATCGAGAAGGCGATGCTTCCAGGACATGCGTGCAATCAGTGATGCTGGCAAGATTGGAAATTCTTGATACAGTATTAGTGAGTTCGTTGAGAGTTGCGAAAGGTAATGAGCTGCCCTCAACGGCCTCTGTCTTCTGCGAAAGAGTGTTGAGCGTTTCCACTACATCATCCCACAGCTCTTGAACCTTATTCTCCAGCGCTTCTCGCATATCATCGGAGCTTTTGGCATGCAGGAATGCCACACTAGCCTCTGCCAGCACATCCTGATCAGAATGTGTAAGGAATTGTTTGTTGATGTCATTTAGCAGTGTCGTGTAAGCAGTGGCATCCTTCTGCATATCCTGGATCTTGTCAAGATCGACCAAATGTTCTAGCCGCAGGACAGCAGATGCCGCTTCTGGGACGGAGCCAAACTTGTTTAGCAGCTGAGGAATGATTTGTGCAAGATTGTGAGCGATCTCTTCCTGCAGTTCCGGTATCTTGTCGGTCAGCGCCTTGACTTTTCGGCCTCTTTTGTCAATGTCAGATTTGGCAACTTCGAGCACTCGCAACTTCACCGCGCAGCACAGCATTTCTAGCAGAATAACTTCCTGCCCTTCCTCCATTTTGTATAGCTTCTTGACGACAGCCACGGTATCATCCTCACTGGGTTCATCTTCAATTTGGGAGTGGTCGTAGAGAAGATACCCGGCCAGAGACTGCCATTGCGAGAGCTCTAGGAAGTGCGAGTATATCGCCTCGGTAGCTAGAACAAATCGCGAGTCCACGGAGATTCCAGAAAGCGCATCCCTCGAGACGGTGAAAGGGCGATCGGGATGCAGCTCGTTTTCTTGTTCGTCGTACGCTTGAAGCATATCCGTCAGACATTTATACTTAATCCACGAGCGTTTGGGCGACTCGAAATCGTCTTCATCCTCATCGCCAAACATTTCGTCAAGATCATCGCCAACCTCCTCCACAGTGGATTCGAACGACTCCTCGACATTGGCGGCAAAGAAACGACCCGCTGACTTTCGGACCTTTGGTTCCGCGTCGAAGATAAGTCTCCCAACGGTGTCAATATCCTCTGGTTTGAGAAGACCGACATCCCGAATTAGGTCAGCCAATACAATTGCCGATGCCCGAACTTCGAGGTCAGTATCGTGCGCAGACATTTCTACCACCCGTAAAACAAATCGGTTACTGAATGTGCGCAGAACAGCCAGGTTATCCCTGTTCTCATACAGGCTGCATAGCTCTTCGACGACAACGCCGCGGTTGTGGGCGACGGGGTCGGATAAAATATAGCCAAAGTAGCGGAGGAACTGGCCTTCGAAGAAGTATTCACGATATGTTCGCATCCAATAGCCCAGAGCAGAGATGCACGCGGAGCGGATATTCGGGTCAATGTCGCGATGACGGTTAACAAAGAAGGTGTTGACGCCATTTTGGAGAACTTCATCGACAAGTTCCAATTTCTTGTCGCCTTCTTGAACGGCTAACTGGATGGCATCGGCTCTTCCCTTGTTCACAGACCTTTTTCTCTTCTCGCTCTCAAGCTGCTTGCGAGAGGTAGAGATAGACGTCATGAGCTCCCGAGCCACGTCACAAAGGGTGTTCATGACTTTAAGAATGATAAAGGTTGCAGTGTGTCGGAAAGGCCGGCAATGCGAGCCGGTAATGGGACCGAGCCATACCAGGATGTTGTCCAAGAGGTTCGGATCCTTGTACAATGTGGAAGAATGGTGCAGAGTCTGTATTAACGCGCTGAGGAAGTCTTCGAGAACAGTCTTGAAATTTCGGAAAGTCCGCGCCTTTGATATAAGAGGGTAGTCGGCGAAACCAAGGTCCTGGTATTGGGTTGACAGGTCGTGCACGCGCTGCGGCACATGGTCAAGATCTGTGATATCCACGCTCTCTACTTCGGAATCGAATCCGGTACAACGGATTATAAAAATGATCATCTGGCGTGTGGCCTCGACCTGGTCTTTCTGATAGGACTTAAGCCAATCTGCAGCAGTGGTATCCAGGTTACGACCTTTTCCAAACACCTCGGCTATATTTCAACGGTGTTAGTCGGCATGCACTCCTGCTTGAGATTAGATACATGGTGGGGCAAGCATACCAAAGAGGCCCTTTTCGCCGGCAGCCAGACTTGGTCTTACCACCGGCTTTCGCGGGCGCGAAGCAGGCTTCTTTCCGTTGGTGGCAGCGGGACGAAAAGCCAGTTGGTTCCCAATTCCATTGCTCGCCACCTTGGGCTTCTTCGAGCTACGGGACTTAGGTTTGGCCTTGGTCCCAGAAGCGGCTGATTTCTTGGCCGCGGCACGGCGCGCAGCCCGTTTCTTCTCTCTGAGTTCTTCTGCGTCAGGTTCATCATCGTTAGATTCGTCGGTTTCAGAATCGGACGCGTCTTCAACTTCGTCTTCGTTTTCATCGCCGGGGGTAGCACGCTTGCGCTTGGAGCCACCGGGAGCCGTTCCTTCATTGGCGCCGTATCTCTGGGAGAATAATTCCGGTCTGCGCGTCGTTCGGCCAGACTTTCTTCTGTCTGTTTGCGGGGTGGAGGCTTCCTGCGTGGGCCCGGGTTGCGGGCTCGAGGGGCGCGAATCAGTTTCCATTGTGGTCGGATGGGATCAGTCAAGCACTAGATGAATACCAATTTGATTAGTGACACTGAGCGCTTGCAGACAGTCTTGGGCTGACATCATGAGAGGTGAGGAGTAGATCGTACTTGGACGTGGGAGGTGTCTGGTTATCGGGCGTGAACGCGACGTCGGGTTTCGCAAGACCCTGTGTCAGTTCTTCTGCGCGCGCGTGCTGCGGGACCACGCGATCGGGCAGAATCACGAGAAAGATCAAAAAAAGGGGGGAGCGATAAGTTAGCCAGATACAATGCAAAACGGGTGCATTGACGATGCGGTCGGAGGGCTGGGGGAGTGTCGAGAGTGGGACTGGAGCAAGTCGGGATGAGGGGAGTTGAACAGTTCTGGCGTCGACGGAACAAACGACGCGCGCCGGGGGGCAGCAGCCTTGGTGCCTGGCGATGACGGGGCGCTGTGGGTGCCTCAGGCCACCAACGCTACCTGTTCGGGGCCGGCGGAAAAGCCGGGAAAATACGGTGAATACGCGATCTCTTGGCACGACCGAATCAGGAGCACGGCCAGCTGACCGGGCGAACCCTAAGCACGGCAGCCCTGATCAGCGGCGGAGAAAGAAACGATGCCGTAATGAAAACGTCCGACTGCTCCATCACGGTTGCACGTTCGACTCGTGTCCAGCTCAGCATTGGAAGGCCAAGACTGCGTCGTTTACAGATTCTTCAAACCCCGCTTCGACCTGGTGATCCGGGAGGCTTAGCACGCCTGTCAATTGGACGAGCCGGCCGCAGTTTGCTCGCCCCGGAAAAGACCTAGACTTTGCGGCCTCAATAAGGGAAACTTCCCCATGACGCCATTCAACATCCATCCCCGTCTCCAATATTCGTATATCATGCCTTTAAGATCCACTCTCTCATCCCTCTCCTCCCTCGCTCTCTCTTTCCGTTTCTAATTTCTCCATATAAAAGAGATCGTCTCTTTTCCCCCGCAGAAACCCTTCAAACAAAACTCTGCTTTCCCAGAATGCCGATCAAATCACCGTTCGAGTCGTCCATTGCGAAGCCGGGACAAGGCAACGTCGTTCTCTCCCTGCTTCCTCCCTCGAATCCCACCTTGACGACCTTAACCTACAAATATCCGTTGAAACTCCTCACACGTGCCCCGGGCTACGTCCCTCAATCCTCTGCCCTCTCCTGTCCCACCTCACGACCCGTCCACCTCTATCTCCTTACCTATGGCGGCGGTCTTCTCCCCGGAGACCACATCGACGTGTCGATCAAACTAGACCCTCAGACCCGACTCGTCGTCACAACTCCCCAGGGCAGCACCAAGATCTTCAAGACGGAACCCAACGCCAGCGTCAAGGGACAGCGAGGAACCCCGGCGCACCAACTCTCCGATAAAAGCCGCCAGTCGGTCGACGTGCAAGTCGGCCGCGAGGCCGCCCTCTGCTACCTCCCAGACCCCGCAGTCCCCTACAAAGACAGCCGGTACGAACAAGTACAGAAATTCACCGTCGACGGGACCACAACCAAGGAGTCCAAGCGGAGTAGTCTCTGCATCCTGGACTGGGTGACAGAAGGCCGCACGTCGCGGGGCGAGAATTGGGATTTCCACCTCTGGCGCGGGAAAAACGAAGTCTGGTCGGCGGACGAGAACGGACACAAGAAGCTTCTCCTGCGCGACTCCCTCATCCTCGACGACGAGGTCAACGAGTTCTGCCTGGAGGATGATAGCGAAACGCTGAGTCGTCGTGGCTTGATTCGAGAGCGCACGCGGCCCCACGGGGTAGTGGGAACGCTGATCCTCTACGGGCCAGTGTTTGAACGCCTAGCGACCTTCTTCATGGATCGGTTCACGTCACAGCCACGCATCGGCGCTCGGAATTGGTCCTCATCTAGCCCTGGCGCTGTGGAATCAACGCCGAACTACGATAGCAAAGTCACGTTCACGGCGGCACGTGTACGCGCCGGCTTCGTCCTGGTCAAGTTCGGAGCGAGCGACTTCGAAACGGCCAAGGATTGGCTTGGTAACATCTTGCGCGAGGAGGGCACGGTCTTCAATGAATTTGGCGAGGAAGCTTTGTTCTGTCTATGAAAGGTCGCTTCCTTCGGTCTCCTATGCATATATACGAGGAAAGGGAGACAGCAAAAAAAGCGGCGAGGTTGATAAACTATCCAGATGATACCCAAAAATCACTTCATAATCAGGCGTTTGATTACTTTGTGACCAGCTACACACCTTACGTCTAGTAGCATATCATATCACTTTTCGGAATCCATGAATCATCTTTTCCATTGTTCATCTAGTCGTAACCTAGCTAGTACTGTCTATTCCAGTGACAAACTCAAGTACTACGAAAGAACAGCCCGCTAAAATCAAATAAAAAAAAAAAAAGGAAGGAAAGGCCAAGTAACGAAAACAGGCAGAAAAATATCTGTAGGGTATTGTCTCAACGTAAAACCCCAACGCCATTCCCGTAAAGCAAAGCCTCCCCTACACGAAGGAAGGGAAGGTGGGAATAAGAAAGAAGCAAGGAAGAGGGAAAGTAGTAAATAGAAAAAGCGAGCCAAGCAAGGAACGCGAGTCATTTCACTGCAGCGAAACGATTCAACTCCACCAATCGGAAAACTTGGGCCTCCAGTCCTTCTTAGTGGCGCTCTGTAGATCATCAACATTGAGAATATCCACACCCTCGCGGACCAGGACGCTCCAGATGTGATTCCTCAGACTGCGCGGCCAGCTCGGCAAGCCCCAATAGCGGACCTTCAGGCCACGGCGATGCGCGGCCTGAATCTGCGCCCGGATCTTGGCCATCTGAGCTTCGGTGAGGCGGAAGGACCAGGGAAACCCGATCGAACTCTTGAAAGAAACCGATGCGTAGTAGCTGTTGGTGCTATTGAATGTGTTGGGGCGAATATCTGCAGCGGGTATGCCCGATAAGCCTTGACCGACATTCTCAGTGGAACTCTCCTCCTGCACGGCTTGGTCTTGTGGAACACGCCGATCAGGTTCTGAAAGCGTAAGTTTCTCGAGAAGTTCGATTTCGTCATGCTCGGCTAGTTTCTCCAGAGGTGCGTCGAAGAAAATGTCTCGGTGAGTAGTATTATCCATGACCAGGTTGAAGGGCGTATTTCCCGTACCCACCACGGTAATCGGTCCTTCGACCACGTCGGTTCCGTTGAAATAGCTCAGGTAACCACGCTCGCGCAGAGGAGACAACTGTGCGGCCACGCTCTTCCAGGTTGCCTCCCCGTCGGTCTTGAAATCGATAAGGAGAACTAGGGTTTGGAATGGGTCAGTGTCGAAAACCCCTTGTAACGGCTGATCGTGGGTGGGATGGAATGCAGTGCGGGGATTCTGCCGCTCAAGGATCTCCAGTAAAGGGTCGATGTACATGTTCCTCAGCGTTCGCTTGGGAGCGAGAGACGAGGTGGTGTGGCCCACGTAGAGATCATTTTCAAAGAGCCAAACATCGGCTTCAACACCCACGCAACCCGCTTGTAGAGCCGAATACAAAGGTACGGGGCGCCAGTAATCGTTGTGCGAGTGACATGCGACCGGCACGATATCCCTCGAAATGTCTGTAGGCCAGTGCGATATCTCAGGACCGACGTCCTTTTGTCGGAAGCGCCACCGGTCTATCGCGCGATCGAAGTCGTCCGAAAAGAATGACACTACAATGCCACAGGCAATAGTGATAAACTGCACGACGCCGCTAAAGAGAGAAGTGTGAATGAAGCTGCCTTCGTAGCGAGCGATCCATCCAGGAGAGTGGGAAACTCACAGCATGATAAAGAAACCCATCAAAGGGAATAGAAAGCAGCGATTGATCGTGGATCGTTTTGAGAACTTCGGTGAGGGGTTGGAGGAAGCGCCCGAGAGTGAGAGCAGCGGGCGAGCATCATCGGTATTCTTCGCAACCGATGTAGAGGACGAGGAGAAGGGAGAAAGAGCAGCTAATCCCCGACGCCATAAAGGAGCCTTCCGTCTTTGCTGTAGGGGCAGAGCGTCGTTCACATCGATACAGAAGCTCTGTTTATCGACCGCAAAACCGGCGCCGTCGCGATCTGGAGACGAAGCGGCGGAGTTGGAGAAATGCGGGGAGGAGCGGGAAGGCATTCTTCAGGCCATGGAAATCCCAGCGCCTCTTGTCTTCTTGTTGTTTGGCGACCTGGTTCTTTTCAGGAACAGAGGGAAAAGGGTCCCGGGTTTATAAGATTCCCCGACCCACCGGCTCAGGGTTTCGTCACCGACCGACAGGCAACTCTGGTTCGACTTTCTCGAGCAGTTTGTTGTTCTCCACGACCCAGTCAACCATGTGCGGGTCTGCAGCCCATTATTGGATGGCCACGATTAGAGAGAGGCACGTTTCCACCTGCAGATCACGCCGGGCACTGATGGAGTATTATATCATGGTCGACATTGCGCAAGCTTTTTGAGAAAAGAAAAAGGAGGGATCTGAAACCACGGGGAGAAAAGAAACGAGGAGACCCCGGTGGAAAGAACGGCAGCAATACTAAGTTGACCGGTAAGCAGCTTCGTGCGCCGATCCGAGACCGAGATGAGACCCTGGACGACCGAGCTGGCAAGTCTAGATCGCTTAGCGCTGCCAGTCACAGAGTGCAGGTAGGACGAGGGGGAAAGCGCAATGGCCTGTGGTCCCGCGGGCTCCGACCCTGCTGGCCGTTTAGCCGATCTTTCTATCATATCCTCAATTCTCTTTATTCATTGACGCCTCCTGCCGATAGTCCCAGGGTGACCCACGTCGTTGCCACCTCGAGTCGGATTGTGATTCGTCTCATCCAAAGTGCCTCAAAGCCCTCAACCCGCAGAAAATGTGGAAGCCTGGAATGGTGGAAGGGTTATACCAACTTGGCTTCGCGCCGTGTCACCCCAACTGAAAGGATCAGTATAACTCTAAGACACAGGATCGGTCTCCGATGGAATCTATCAGCCGCCACCGAAGCCTGGATCCAATCATCCAGGCATGCTCCCCGAGGTTACAGTCACTTGCCGATGCTATCGCCTCTAGTTCTACGGGCGAGTAGGAATTCGTCATAGTACGGAGCACTCCGTTTTGAATTTGATCTCGGACCTTTAGAGATAGTGTCGGCTTGGCATGCAGAAGGAAGAGGGGAAATAGCACGGACAATTAATTTCGAGCGAAAATCAGGTCGACGAGGTGTGGCTGGTTATGAATTCGGACCAGCGACTGGATGAGGTTTCGTCGTGGAACGCAACTGAGACAACGGTCATCCCACAAGCTCACGAGATAATGTGTACAGTAACACCGAGCCTGCAATGCAATTCAATAATGATTGCATCTGCCATCCGAGAAGGATGAATCCAATGCTCGATGACATGCGATGCCCCACGCCCCGAAATGTACGAGGTCCCGTGACTTGGTGCTTATCGCGATAAGATAAGGGATGACTGATCCTCGATAAGAAACCAGACGGGGAGGGAAAAAAAAAGAAAAAGAAAAAAAAAAGGTTGGCGGCCGAACGAGTTTGTCTCCGCAACTTGTAAACCATCCTCCCATATCTCCCTCCTTAATCAACGATCCAACACCGGCATAATGCCTCACAAACACAAAAGACGTCAAAATGACTCAAAGTAAGATGCCCCTCTTCAATAGATTCCATGACCCTCTACTCACAAAATCCGCAGTATCTACGACCTCCCCCCGTCCATGATCGCAAAGCCTCTCCCCGTCCGAGACCCCCAAGCCCAATCCAAATCCAAAAAGAAAGGCGGCAAAGATGCGAAGAAGAACCCCCCTCCAACCCAGCAGTCCGACTACTCGCGCAAAGCCGGCACGGGCGATGATACCCCGAAAGCCTTCCTCCGGTTGATGCAGCGCCAGAACGCGGGCGCTCAACCGTCGTCGAAACCCGACGCCGGCGAAAACAAGAAACGGAAGCGAGGAAAGACAGAAGACTCCACGGCCGCTGCGCGGAAAAAGCCGGCGGCTGCGAAGGCGAAGGCGAAGACAGAGGAGCCCAAGACCGAAACCGAGGCCCCAGTTGTTTCGAAACCGAAAATCATGCCCGGGGAGAGATTGTCGGACTTTGCGGCTCGTGTGGATCGGGAATTGCCTATCTCTGCGATGCAAAAATCTAGTAAACCGACTGCATCAAATATACCGGGCCTAAAAGAGGAGCATCGCTTGACGAAACACGAGAAGCATCTGCTGCGGCTTCAAAAGCAGTGGCGCGAGGACGACGTGGCGATTAAAGAGAAAGAGGCCGCTGAGCGAGAGGAACGACAAGAGGAGATGGAAGAGCAATTACGGCTCTGGAATGAATGGGAGCTGGAGGCTGGGAAGGGCAGGGCTAAGAAGAAGGGCGCTTCTTCCAAGAGGAAGAAGACGACTGACGGGGACGCGGTTGACGATCCGGACCCCTGGGCAAAGTTGGCCAAGCGCGAGCGCATGAAGAAGGCGAATCCCTTCGAGGTTGCCGAGGCACCGCCGCAATTAACGAAACCGAAGGAAATCTTCAAGGTTCGAGGCGGAGCAAAAATTGATGTTGCGAACGTCCCGACAGCGGCAGGAAGTTTGAGAACGAGAGAAGAGCTCGCAGGCGAGAGAAGGAACATCGTGGAGCAGTACCGGAAGTTGATGGCAGAGAAGCGGCAATGATTGACCAATTTAGAGTAATAGAGTTGCATAACTAATTTCATACTCTGCACTGTGTGATGTGCTTGAATCCATGTTCTAGTTATTTACTATCGCGGCTAATAAGACAGTGAACAAAATGAAGATATCGTCGTTGTAATGTAATGCTTTTTTGTATATACAAGAGTTCATGTATGACCCAAATCACCTACATAGATGGCATAAAACCCGGAATTTATTCCTGCTGCAGAGACTTAACGTAGTCCGCTGCCTTTGCCTTGATTTCCTCGACCATCTTGTTGTTTCCACCCTCCGCAGCAGCAAGCTTTTCCTCGAAAGCCAGCCACTTCTTGAAGAAGAATTTGGCCTGCTTCGGGCGGACCTTCTTCTCTGCTTCGACGGAAACGGCACCCTTCTTGTTGTCGCGAATACCAAGCACCCGTTCGAACAAACGCCGGACTTGTTCCGCATCGCCAGCCTTGATCTCCAAGTCCAGCAGGATGCTCCAGAGATCGATTCGCTTGGGGAACGAGGAGAGAAGTCCCTCGAAGACAGTTCGGCCACGCTCAACATCTCCGTTCGTAGACCTGAATTCAAGCTGGCCGAATTTAGACGTGGTTTCGACATGAGTGTGAGATGGCAGGGACTGGAGAGCGCGAGGCAGCAAAGCGCGACCACGCTCGGGGGCGGCCATATTATCGAACAGGAAGCTGGCGTAGTTGAGGAAAAACTTAGGCGAAGACGAAACCTTTTTCTTCAGCGCGGTTTGGAAGAGCTCATCCGCTTTCTATAAGCCAAAAAAGGTTAGCACATCAGGTCTAGCATAAATACAAATCTGATGGAAGGGGGGAAAGCCTACCTCGTTCTTGCCTGACTGGATGTAGATGCTGATCAAACGCTCATAGACTTCTTGGGTGTCGTTGTATTGACATGCGCGCTTGAAGACATCATCCAACGAGTCGTCGTCGCCATAGGTGTTCTCCATGTTGAGCAAAGCGATCCAGATGTTCAATTTCTCGGCATCTTGTCCGATGGCAATAGTACGAAGGGCACGTTCGGCAATCTCTCGTGCCTTGTCGACTTCTCCCAACTCCAACTGGAAAGCCATGTACTTCAGCCAAAGCATTGAAGAATCTGGCTCGCCAAGCAACAGCCGCTCGTAATCGGCCACAGATTGGGGCCCGTTGGCGTCCAAATCACCAGTCCGATCAACTTGGATCTCGGGTTTGCGGTGCTTCTTTCTCTTCTTGTGGGATTCATCATCTTCCGACTCCGAGTCAGCGGCCTCATCGTCGTCATCCTTGAGGTTACCGCTCCAGTCAAAGGCACCTCCACCGAGGCCACCCTCTGGTCGAGGCTCTGAGTTGGCCATTGGCTCATCGTCAGAATCGTCGTCAGAATCGCTGTCATCGTCTTCGTCTACTTCCACTCCTCCCATAGACACATCGCTGTCCTCATCTCCTTCTTCATCGTCGTCACTGCCATCTGCACCGTCAAGGCCGTCAAACCCATCTAGACTGACGCCCTCCGAATCATCATCTTCGCCGTCGCTGTCTTCAGAATCCTCCTCATCGTTGAAGTAGGAAGCCTTCAGTCCGAAAGAGATCTTTCCTTGTTTATGATCGATCTTGAGGATTTTGGCCTTGACAACATCGCCTTCCTCGTAGAGAGTTCTGGCATCCTTGACCTGCTTTTCAGCCATCTCGCTACGGTGGCAGAGACCACTCAGGTTCTGCGATCCATCAATAACAACGAAAGCACCAAATTCCTCGACCTTTCGGATTTTGCCAGTGACGACTTGACCAGGCTTAAGATCATGCAGCGTGACAGGAGCCTTGTAGTTGGGGTCCAAAACTGATTCTTTCAGGCTCATCTGCAGCTTGTCCTGTTCGGGGTTGACAACAGTGATACGGCCTTTAACAAGTTGATCGACCTGGAATGAGTCCTTCCATTCCTTAAGATAGGAGTCCGATAGATCAGAAACCCGGACGTAGGCAGTGACGCCATGGCCAAGGGTCACGAAAAGACCATTATCAGCGACCCTCCGCACGAAACCGCGAACGATATCGTTGACCTTGAGTTGTTTGGCGGAAGAGATCTCGGGATCCTGCACCGGCAAGGAGGAGCTGAGGACCTTCGAAGGTCGAAGCGAAAGAGAGATCTTCTTGTTGGCCTTGTCGATAGCCACGACGCAAGCGCGCAGCACTTCGTTTTTCTGATAGACCGTCGGGTTTGCCTTTGCGTAATCATCTGCCAAGTCAACCAGATCTACTGCACCAACAATATTATCAGTGAGCTGCATGATGAGCTGCCGCTCAGTGACCTTGGTGACCCTTCCGGGCAAGACCATGCCAGTAGAGATGTCCTTGAAAGAAAGTTTATCGGAGCGCTTCTTCGCCGAAAGGTCCAAGCGACCCTTTTCGGTGTCGACAGCCGTGACCTGTACTTTAACAGCAGAACCAATGGGGAAGTGCTTTTCCACATCGGCCAAAAGAGAAAGGTCATCCGATGCGTCCATGAAACGCATTCTTCCTCGGACATTGGGGGAGAGGTTGACCCAAAGGCTGTCATCAGCAACGTTGTTGATGAAACCCACCCAGGATGAACCAGTTTGGACCTGTTCCAAGTTCAGGGGGCTAGGGTTGGCAGCCTGTAGGAAGCTTGGCTTGGCGGAAAGTTCAAAGACAGGGTACTTTCCAGTGCGGTGACTAATGGGAAGGAATTTGTGGTTGCGAGCATCGTGAACACCCAGGATTCTGGCAGAAATAACTTGCTTCTGGCGGAAGAAGCGTAGGGGTTGCTTGCGGTTTTTGATATCCTCCCACTTGTCGAAGACTTCAGAGACATCGATCCGACCCTGGACATTGTCTGCAAGTTGAACGTTGACCTGGGTTGCCTTGACGGACGTGATTTTGCACTTGACAACTCTTCCAAACGTAAAATCAGACATCTGGGTGATGCCTTCATCGACAGCGTTGGCCACAGGAACGTCAGAATTGGCAGCCTTAGGGGTTGTTTTGGGAGCCGACTTCTTAGGACCGGCATGAGTGGCTTCTGAGGGTTTCATGCTCAGGATGAACCTTCGGAAATCGGTATCGACGGAATGCACGGTGGCAGAAACGACTTGCGACTTCGCCATGCCAAATGAGGGCTTGTTGACGTTTTCCTCCGCAACAAGACGCTTAGGGACAAGACCGATCATACCACCCAGGAACTCAACAAACACGCCGTCTTGAGTGATGTTTCTGATGAAACCGGTGACATCGGCACCTTCCTGAACATCTTCGAACTTGCCTGGGATCAGCCCCTGCTGAGCGGCCTTCTTGAGGCTTGCCCTGCCTGAAACCTTGATGAGTCTGCGAGCCCGTTGAATATCGAGCACGAGGAGGTCATTGAGTTTTTGGCCAACGCGGATCTTGGAGAGAGTTGATCCTTGTTTCGAAGGACTACCGTCAACCACATGTTCGAAGTTCAACCGAGCCACGAGGCCGAATTCATCCAGCTTGAGAAGGCAGTCATCGTCGGATTTTTCGAAGACAGTACCAGTGACAAGCAAGCCGGGGTGAACATTTTCGAAGGCTTTCCGATAGGACTCGGTGAATGTAGAAGGGTCCTTGCAGGAGACTACAAGTTTTCCAAGAGAGGCATCGACACTCAGAACATGGACATTGACGACCTGTCCCTGTCTGAAGTGCTGAGAGGGATCCTTGATGTAAGCCTCACTCATTTCCGACACCGGAAGGAATCCTCGGACAGTACCGTAGAACTGAACCACAGCACCATGCGGCTTGATACTGATGATGGTTCCCGGAGATTGGGCATCGGGGTTGATGTCTTGGAAGTCCTTCCAGATAGCAGATTCGCTATTCAGCAGACTCTTCTTTAGAGTCAGCCGAATGTGGCGCTTCTCCAGATTGACCGAAAGGATTCTGGCGGAAACAGTCATACCCTCCTTGAACTTCTTTTCGGGAAATTGAAGAGGCGTATCAGCGAAGTGCATAGAAGGAACAAGACCGCTGATACCATCGGCCAGAGACACAATGAGGCCGTCAACTCCTGAGGCGCCGATGATGAGCTTTTGAACCTTGCCCTTGACCACAGCGCCTACGGTCACGTCCTCGATGCGAAGGAATGGCTGATCAATGATCTTTCTTTCGAAAGACAGCAAATACAAGTTGTCAAGCGCACTGTATCCCATCACTCGCGCCTCGTGAACGGAATCGACACGGAACGGTCCGTGGTCCTCAGAGATAGTTTCGACCTGACCGTCTGCCAATCTTGACACATGAACGAATCCGATATGTTTTGATGAGCCGAGGTGCACGTAAACACCAAGCCCAGGTTCAACCCGGACAACCTTAGCCTCGGGCACGATTGCAGAAATGACAGGAGTGTCATCAGAGGAGCCTGGTACACTGGCTGCAGGCGTGAATTTCAGGACATGGTCAAGCAACGAGAAGCCGACCTTGTAAGGCTCAGAGGATGGGAAGGTGCAGACAAGACGGCCCTTAATCTTGGCTCCGATGTTGTATTTGTTGGTCAAATCATCTTTGCCCGAGTTACCACCAGATTGCACTAGATCCACAGTGGCATCCAGCATTCCCATGATTTTTCCGCTAATTCCGGTTGACGAAACTTCGGTTAGCAGAATTTCGGCCGCGGTGCCGGGCAGGAAAGTGGTGATAGTAGGGGCCGTGCTGAGGTAACGAGATTTCTTGATGGATCCGGAGGATTGGAGGTTGGCAGAGAGTTTGACGACGCTGCCGTTGGCGTTCTGACCAGTGATCATACACAGGAAGACCGATCCCTCCTTGATGTTTGAATAATCCAGTTTGGGGTCAATTTCCTTAGAAGACATGAAGCCCTTGACATTGGAGCCCTCGATCCCCACATCCATGATCAGACCATGATCTTCGACGCTGAGGACTGAAGCCTGAACAGCGGCGTTGTCGACTAAGCCAGTCTTCAGGAGACCAGAGTTAGCTTGTCTTGGGTCAATCGAGAGTTCAATGCGCCTTCTGTTCTT